GTGTGCTGTGTGCTGTGTGTGTCTGAAGGTGCTGTGTGTGTGAGGGTGCTGTGTGCATCTGAAAGTGCTGTGTGCATCTGAGGGTGCAGTGTGAGTCTGAGGGTGCTGTCTGTGGGGGCTGTGTGTAACGAGAATATACCCCAACACGCAGGATTCAGCTAAACAAAAGACAACACAGAGGAGAGATACGTCTACCGGACCTTAGAATGGCCGGATTCAACGTATTTGAGAGGAGACAGAGTCAGGAACAATCCGAAATCAAGAGCACAGAGAGACAGCGTAAACTAGGACAAGCCGGGGTCTGGTACACAGTAAACAACAAGCCGACAACCAGAACAGATAAGGATAAAGAGAAAACGTAGTCAGAAACAAAGCCAAGGTCAATACGGAGAAACACAACTGAACACAACAAGCGCTAAAGGGAACTGATACAGAAACCACGATAGGGCAAGAAACAAAGGAAAGAAGGTGAGTATAAATACCTAAACATCTACTTTGATTGGTCCCTGTCACATCCACGCCCCCAAAAGGTAAGTGTATGGGGAGTGTGGCATGACAGGGACCAATGGGATGCCTTTTCCAATTTAGGCACCCACTGTCCCTTTTAAGAGCGCGCCCGATACCCGCGGCGCGCTCTTAGAGTAGGTGGAACATGTGACCGCTACTAGTCACAGCGGTCGGCTGAGCCGCGCGCGGCTCGTGCAGCAGCAGGACCGCGCGCGGCTCGAACAGAGTACCCCGGCCGGCCCCTGGAAAGGGTAAGTACCGCTACATTACCCCCCCCTGAGGACACGCCCTCCGGGCGGGGAGGGCCAGGCCTGGCAGGAAAACGAGAATGGAAAGAGCGCACAAGACGAGGAGCGTGAACCGCGTCAGCGGAAATCCAACTATGCTCCTCAGGCCCATAGCCCTTCCAATGCACTAGGTACTGAAGTCGGCCCCTAATGAAACGAGAGTCAAGAACTGCAGAAACTTCAAATTCCTCATGACCCTCCACAGAAACAGGAGGGGGAGGAGGTGCATGTCGGGTGTAGCGGTTGCGTACGAAAGGCTTCAACAACGAGGTGTGAAAGACATTAGGAATACGCAGATTCTTAGGGAGACCCAAGGCATACGAAACAGGATTAACCTTATGCAGAATACAATAAGGACCAATAAAGCGGGGAGCCAATTTCATAGAAGGCACCCGGAGGCGAATGTTTCGCGTAGAAAGCAGAACCCTGTCCCCCACAACATAAGAAGGAGCCGCCCTGCGATGCTTGTCAGCCTGCACCTTCTGGCGAGCAGCGGAATCCACCAAAGAACGCTGAACCTGCTCCCAAGTATTACGCAAATTAGCCAAATGTTCATCCAGAACTGGCATGCCCTGTGAGGAGAAAGCAGCCGGAAGAACAACAGGATGTTGGCCATATACAACGTAAAAAGGACTCTTGCCGGAAGAATCATGAGTAGCGTTATTCCGAGCAAACTCAGCCCAAGGAAGAAGGTCAGACCAATTGTTCTGATGGTGGGATACGAAACAACGAAGGTACTGCTCCAGAGATTGATTGGCACGTTCGGCAGCTCCATTAGACTGGGGGTGGTAAGCGGAAGAAAATGAGAGAGAAATACCCATTTCCGAACAAAAGGCTTTCCAGAACCTGGAAATAAATTGGCTACCCCTATCAGATACAATAGATACGGGAATGCCGTGTAATCGAAACACCTCTCTGGCGAAAACAAGTGCTAGTTCCCTGGACGTGGGCAGCTTGTGAAGAGACACAAAGTGAGCCATCTTGGAAAACCGATCCACTATCATTAGGATAACTGTGTTACCATTCGAGGGAGGTAATTCAACAATAAAATCCATGGACAGGTTAGACCAAGGTCTCTCGGGAATAGGTAACGGATGCAACAGCCCACAAGGAACCCTACGAGAAGATTTCATACAGGCACAAGTAGTACAAGCACCTATATAGTCAGTGACATCCTTGCGTAAGGAATCCCACCAAAAATACCGAGAAACTGCTGACACCGTTTTGGAAATACCAGGATGTCCAGTAGTCTTAGTGTCATGATACAACGACAGAATCTCCCGTCTCTCGGGAACATCAACGAACAGTTTATCAGTAGGTCTCTCGCTAGGTGCCATGTTTTGTTTCGCTTGTATGGCCTGCAAGAGGGACTCACAGGAGTAACATCAATCTCCTGTTTGTCAGCAGTTTCGAACTGTCTGGACAGAGCGTCTGCTTTAGTGTTGCGGTCACCTGGCCTATAGGTGATAATGTAATTGAAATGGGACTGTGAGTACGTAACCATGGGTACCCTAACACAATGTGAGAAGAGGGAGATGTGATAACCTGGAATCGAATGGTTTCAAAGTGTAAAACCCCTGTATACATGTGTAATGGTACAGTTTCATGAGTAACAATTGGAGAACTTAATGGTCTACCATCTATGGCCTCAATGGCCAAGGGTATCTCCCTTTCTCTGACGGGAATGTTATTTTTCGTAACAAACTCAGAGTCAATAAAGTTCTCAGCAGCCCCAGAATCAACCAAGGCTAATATGCATTCTGCTATACAACTCACCCCCATATGAAGGGAAACAGGGAGAAGCAAACGATTAGGAGGCAATTTAGGAGACTTAGAGATCACACCCAAGGCCAGTCCCCTATAAGGTCTTAGGTGCGAGAGTTTTCCGGACGCAAAGGACATTCCCTTACCATATGGTCTCGCCTACCACAGTATAGGCAGAGTCCATTCCTTCTTCTAAGTAGTTTTTCAGTATCCGAGAGTTTGGCAACCCCTAATTGCATGGGTTCCTCCTCGGATACTTTAACACTCTCAGGTTTATCAACTCTAGGGTTAATAGATGTGACCAGACGTCTATTCTTGTTTTTGGTATAGAGCCTGTCGCGAATTCTATTATCTATATCAATGAGGTAGTCAATAAGATCCTCTAATGGGATAGGAAGCTCCCTTGCCGCTACCTCATCTAATATAGTGTCAGATAAACCTTCCATGAACGCAGTAGTTAACCCATTATTGGTCCAATCTACCTGTGAAGCAAGGGTACGAAACTGAATAGCATAATCCGCCACAGACCTAGACCCCTGTTTAATCCTCATTAATACTCTTGCGGCATTCTTTGACCTCTTTGTTGTGTCAAAAGTTCTACGAAAAGCCGCAAGAAAACTATTGAAATCATGAACCATAGGTCCATTGGCCTCCCAAATAGGATTTGCCCACTCTAGTGCTTTGTCAGTAAGTTGATGCATCAAAAACCCCACTTTAGACCTATCAGTGGGAAAGGAATGAGGATACATCTCAAGGTGGAATTCTATTTGATTAATAAAACCTCTGCATGTCTTGGCTTCCCCTCCATACCTAGGAGGAGGTGTTAAATGGGGCGAAGCATTGGTTGAATTGGATACTTCGGGAGGATGAGGTGTAGGAGGGTTCGGTGCGGTTGCAGGAATGGTTCTAGACAAGAGCGTCTGGAGAGCCTGTGCTATCTGATCCATACGGTGATCCTGCTCTACAAACCTTGCCTCGTGAGAAGCCATTTGCTGAGCCAAATCTGCGGGGTCCATGGCCCTATCGTAATGTAACGAGAATATACCCCAACACGCAGGATTCAGCTAAACAAAAGACAACACAGAGGAGAGATACGTCTACCGGACCTTAGAATGGCCGGACTCGACGTATATGAGAGGAGACAGAGTCAGGAACAATCCGAAATCAAGGGCACAGAGAGACAGCGTAAACTAGGACAAGCCGGGGTCTGGTACACAGTAAACAACAAGCCGACAACCAGAACAGATAAGGATAAAGAGAAAACGTAGTCAGAAACAAAGCCAAGGTCAATACGGAGAAACACAACTGAACACAACAAGCGCTAAAGGGAACTGATACAGAAACCACGATAGGGCAAGGAACAAAGGAAAGAAGGTGAGTATAAATACCTAAACATCTAATTTGATTGGTCCCTGTCACATCCACGCCCCCAAAAGGTAAGTGTATGGGGAGTGTGGCATGACAGGGACCAATGGGATGCCTTTTCCAATTTAGGCACCCACTGTCCCTTTAAGAGCGCGCCCGATACCCGCGGCGCGCTCTTAGAGTAGGTGGAACATGTGACCGCTACTAGTCACAGCGGTCGGCTGAGCCGCGCGTGGCTCGTGCAGCAGCAGGACCGCGCGCGGCTCGAACAGAGGACCCCGGCCGGCCCCTGGAAAGGGTAAGTACCGCTACAGGGGGAGAGAAGGATAATTAGTTCGGGCAACTATAGGAGTTGTTTGTTTCTAAACTTAAACCTCAGTATTTAGGTGTAATTGCCCTGTTGGCACTTTGAAGAAAAAAAGTTGTCGTGTATTGCGGTTTGGGCACTCTGACTCAAAAAGGTTCGCCATCACTGCTCTAAGGTAATCTGCCCCTGTCACCTGAAATTTTCTTTACATGAATCTGTTTAATAAAATTAAATAATACAAATCCTACTAGCATATATTTATACTATAACCTAGATATTGTACCAATTAAGACCTGGCAGTTACTATGTGTGGAGGTGGCTGTCAAGGACACTCATTGCAGTGACTGTTCCTACTGTAAAAAAAAAAAAAAAAAAAGAAATAGCTTCCAGGCCTGTTCTGTGAGCAACCAATTAAAACCGACATTCAAACCGATGAGCTGTGTTACTCGCGGTCTGTCATTAGTATGAGGTTATCAATTAATCCATTGTTAATATAAAAATTGCAAGCCAACTACTGAACAGTTTTAAAATATATCAGCACACGATCCATGTGGTTTCTGTTTTTGTTTTAACTACTTAATAGAAAAGTATCTGGTGACAGTCACATTAAGGGTTGTAGATTTTGTTTATTTTCTATTCCCCCCCCTCTTTCCTACCAAAACAGGTATTGAGATTTGTGAGATGCTGTTTTCTTATGACTATGTATGAGTTTGTATGGTAATTTTTGTAGAGACTTCATACACCATTTTCATGTTCTACCCTCCATCTAGGTCAAGGAATTTAATGGGAGACATTTTGTTATGGAGACCTCCATTACTGGAGACTTTGCATTGGTAAAAGCTTGGAAAGCTGATCGTGCGGGAAATGTTGTGTTCAGGTGAGAATTTAGCCTCCAGTCATCAACGAACTTCTTGGAGATAAACTGTGATGGGAAGTGTGTAACACAGAGAAAGATGAGATTATTCGTATATTTTATGACTTTTTTTATTTAATTTTTTTTTGTTTATGATTTATATGCCACCTACATATTCTGCAGCTCTTTAAAATTATAGGACATATTAGAGGTGAAAAAGGCCCTGCTCAAAAGAGCTTACAATTTATGAATACCCAAGACAATAAAAAAACCTACCTCTAACAGTCCCATGTTTGCAGACACCATGCAGGTTTTCATTTATTAAGAATTCTGAATGGTGCTTGTTTGTTTATGTGTATGTAGATGTCGTGCAGCTTGAATTGCTCTGATCACATCCATAGTTGTGCATGTTTGAAGTATGTGTTTAGACTACAGCAAGATCATATTTGTACAAAAGGGAGTATCCAAAAAAACTTTTTTTTTTTTTTTTTTTAATGCAAATTAGTAGGTACTTAAAGGTACGCAACACTTGATTGTCACTGTGTCCCTGCCTTCCTTCACATTCACCCAGAAAATGCTCGCAATAATGAATCAACGTAGTATCAATGACAAGGCAAGACTATAATAAAGGCATATTAGTACATAATATACTATTAAAGAATGGGCCACTGAGCTAACTTCGCAGTTGAAGAATGACTCCTCAAGATAATTCAAAGTGCGTACTTGGAGTCCCTGCAACAACTTGAAAACTACTGCTCTGTACCTTTCTCTCTCCTTCCACGTCTGCTCTTATTGCTGATAGGTGTATTTCTTTGCATATTACCTTAAATTAAACCATTTCTGCTGATATTTAATTTACACCCTCTGGCCACAGGGTAAATATAGCATTTATACAATGTATGTATATTTCTATTACTTGTCATTCATGATGAGATTCCCCCCCACCTCCCCCTTTTTTTTCCCTCAATTGTCTGTGAAAGTTCAGTTGCCTCATAGATGGTTTTGGTCACCAGGGCAACGCTGACTGGCGTAGCCTTGTGACAGATGCCTGCAGCATATCTGGCTTCTGCCTGGCACTGCGCATTCTATACATATTGATTTTCTTAATTTCTGTGTTTGAGGATCTGACTTGGTTGTCTGCTAGGAAACAAAACAATGTATTAATGCATTTAAAAGACTGGCAAAAAAAACCTTTTAAAATACAATAGATTTACAAGACGATTCTTAAAAGAATGAGATTAATCTCGTAGAGCTCTTTTTAACCCTATAAGGGGGCATTCTATACATTATAACGCTCTCCGCCCCCCAGCTATATTGCAAATGCAGAAGTTGTACTTCCAACTAAGCAAAATCAGCTGAGTGTGTCAGCTGACAAATCAGCCCAAAAATATATTACAAATAATATATTTTATTTTCCTTTTTCACAAAAGTAAAGTTGAAACTGGTTAGTAAAATAAAACACTGCAATATAGTGCTAATGACACAGCAAAACTAGTCTGCCAGCTTGGATTCATATGATTCCATTTAGGCTTCTAGACTTTGAACCTTGCCTGCCATTCAGGGCCGGCGCTTCCGTTAGGCCATGGGTCAATGTGGGTGTTTGTCTGTCTGCATGGGGTCAGTGTCTGTGTCACTGTTTGTGTTAGTTTGCGTGTGTCAGTGAATTTATCTGTGCAAGGGTCACTGATTATGAGTGTGTATGTATGTGTCAGTGATTGCATTTGTGCACAAAGCACAGTATTAATTAAAAAAATACTTTTTAAAGGTTTATTAGAGAAGTGTCTTAGTAGAGAAGTAAAACAAGAGATTAAAAATAAGAAAAGGGCATTTAAATCATTTTAATTGGACAAATCAGAGGCATCCTATATAAGATAAAGGGAAGCCAATAATGTTTGCAAAAAGGCAATTAAAGTGGCTGGCTAAACTAGAAAATGAGAAATTGATAGCCAAAGAATCCAAAACCAACCCCCAGAAACTTTAAATAACTATTTTTCTTCCGTATATATTAATGAGGATCCTATGGCAAGAGATATGCAAATGATTGCTGCAGTATACTTGCAGATAGCTGGTGCTTGGATGACTCGAGACAAGGTGCTACAGCAGTTAAAGTTATTCACCCACGATTACTTAAGGAGCTAAGTGGGGAAATAAGTGAACCTCGGAATTCAATTTTTCAAGATTCTTTTGTTTCAGGTATTGTACTGGAGGATTGGAGGAAGGCAGATGTCGTTCCTATATTTAAAAAGGGTTTAAAATCCTTGCCTGGAAATTATAGACCTATAAACTTAACTTCTGTGACTGAGAAAATATTTGAAGGGCTATTAAGGGACAATATTCAGGAATTCAATGGTGAAGAACATGGTTACTGGCGATAATCAGTCATGTCAAACTAACCTAATTGCATTCTACCAAGAAGTAAGTAGAAGTATAGATCAGGGTCTTGCTGTGGATGTGATCTACTTGGATTTTGGCAAGGCATTTGATACGGTTCCTCACAATAGGTTAGTGTTCAAACTAAGAGGAATTGGTTTAGATGAATATTCTTGTTCTTGGGTAGAACATTGGCTTAAGGATGGAGTACAATGAGTTGTCATTAATGGTCAATTTTCATGCTGGACAAAAGTGATAAGTGGTGTCCCTCAGGGTTCTGTTTTGGGACGGCTTCTATTTAACATATTTATAAATGATCTTGAAATAGGCATTGCAAGCTATGTTTTAGTGTTTGCAGATGAAACAACTTTGTAGAATAATAAAATGTGAGCAGGATATTGCTTTGCTGCAGAGGGATTTAGATAGGTTGGGGGACTGGGCACTAAAATGGCAGATGAAATTTAATGTAGAGAAATGCAAAGTTATGAATTTCGGGGTCAAGAATGCACAAACAACTTGCACCCTAAATGGTAGTGAATTAGGGGTAACCACACACGAGAAGGATTTGGGAATTGCTATAGACAACAAATTAGGCCGCAATATGCTATGTCAACCTGCAGTTGCTAAGGCCAATAAGGTTTTGTCATGTATAAATAGGGGCATAAATTCTAGGGATGAAAATATAATTTTGCTTCTTTAAAAATCGCTTGTCAGACCACACATTGAATATGCTGTGCAATTTTGGGCACCTGTTCTAAAGAAGGATGTACTAGTTTTTAACACAAATTGTTATTGAGGTTACAAGGTGGTCATTAGTTGTCAGCATGCTCGGTGAATGGATCAGTGATGCTTATGAACAGTTGCCTTATGCATTTCTGTAAGTTATGAGAGAGCCAGAGAACTCTGCATAACCCTGTTATCTGCAAAATTCACATTGTTTGATTGTTATTCAGTAAGGTGAGAATTGCTGAGAATTGAAAGTAAATTCAAAGTCAAAATAGCCAAGCTGGATAATTCTCGGTCAGATATTCTTCTTATTTTGCTATTTAGGCTTTTTCAAATTTGACATTAACTTTTAAATGAGTGGACATTTAAGCCACTGCCTGCTCTAAGTGATGCCTATAGACAGCTGCATATGGGCCATTGAAAGCTGCAGAGTAGGAAGTTTCCCCAGACATTTACAAGCTGTCTGTAATATAAAAACTGCATAATTTCATTATCACGAGTACCCATGCTTGAGTCAAAAAAGGGGCATATATTTTACTTGATGAAGCGGCCTTTAAGAAATTCTATCTGCACATTTTAGGTGTAATAAGGAAATGTAATTTACATTTCCCATGGTTTCTGCAAAACCTGAAAAGAAGGCTTCCTTAACAAACTTCTAAAATAAGTACTTTTATAAATTGGCATTTTTATAAATTAACCTTATCCATCCCCAGACAGCCGGTCATGTTTTTTCCTGGCTGCTTAGCTCAGAGAACCTGCTTTGAAAAATCATTGAGCTGCATTGTGAAGTCAGTGATTGGACAGCTACAGACAGTCTGGACAGGGCTGGAAGGGGAGGGTTTGCAAGAGATCTGACGATTTTTGCAAGCTGTCTTTGGATAAATGCATAATTAAATGCATGTTTTCATTGGAATATATCTGCTAAATAGTGATATATATTCTATTTTATATAATTTCTTTATTTGAGCATTTCTTTTATTTGAGCCTCTTTAAATATATTGTTAAAATGTCAATGTGCATTTTCCTCTGTTGACTTAACAATCAAGGAAACAAGACATCATAGAAAAGGAACATGCATTAAAACACACGTGGAAAAACAAATCCATTTATTAGTTTGACATACATGAATATGTTTCTACACTTTATTTGAAAAGAACATACAGAAATATGTTAAATACGCTATGTAGAGGAATATCATTCTTTAAACATGTCATAATTCCTTTTTTTTTTTTTTTTTTTTCAGAAAAACTGCAAGAAACTTCAACCAGCCGATGTGTAAAGCCGCTAAAGTGACCCTTGTTGAGGTGTGTACATTTCTTTGCAGCTTTATCTGTATATCCGATTTCCACATGCATTGATGTAGCTAAACGTCTTCATATCCATTTGAAATCCCAACAGAATGTACTACTCATTACTGGCACCTCTCAAATTACAGTGTAATCTGCTGTGCAATGTTTGCTGTAGCTCTAGGGAAACTGTGATGAATTTAAACCTTTTTTCCCCCAATTGCATTGCACAGCTCTTTTGTAGGCTTCTTCACTTAACTCAAATTTGGCAAGAATTGAGTCTATTTCCAGCTAAAATTTGCAATTACCTAACTAATATATGGTTTATTAATTAACCTCGTGCCATGACAATTACACAGGTTTTCATTTGTGTATCCACCCCCTCTATCTCCCTTATGTGTGTTAAAATATGTGTGCCAGGGTATAACGTAAACTTTTTTTTTTTTTTTATAAATGTGTTTTATTTTTTTAAAAATGTTTTAAAATTATTTAATGTCCACAGCCTTACAGTAACCTTCATTAGACCTCAAAAGTGACCTGGAAATGTTTTGACATTTATATATTAATAAACTGTTCGCAAAGGGGCCCCTTTGTGACAATAACAAGTAAAATTTGAATTTGCTAAAGAGGACTCTAGACTTTGTTATTCTGGCAATTATAGGTGGAGATTCCTAAACCGCTAGCAGATAATTATGTGTGTGTATTCCTAATCCTGACTGGTTATTTCGATTCCTTCCTGATTGGTCACGGTTTCTCGATAACCGTTTTTTAAGGTAGAATGATTATTAGTTTAAACTCACAAATCTTGCTTTAAATGCTAATTTTAAATGGACCCTATAGTACCAGGAATACAAAGCTGTATTCCTGGCACTAAAGCTCATGCAGTGCTGGGTCTCTGACTCCGCCTCCTGTGACATCCATCAATGAGCGGACGCTAATGCACATGCGCCGTGAGATCCATGCGTGCATTAGGCCTCCCCATAGGAAAGCACTGAATCAACACTTTCCTATGGGGAAATAGCTGATGTTGGATGTCCAGTGTTAACGGACCAAAAGTCCGTTAACACCCAGGAAGAGCTTCTAGTGGCTGTCTAGTAGATGTCCACTGGAGGCAGACTAGTGCTGCAATGTATACATTGCAGTTTCTCTTGAACTGCAATGTTTTGCATTTCAGCACTAAGTGCAGTACGGACAGTGCACCCAGACCACTTAAATGAGCTGAAGTGGTTTGGGTGCCTATAGTGTCCCTTTAATTGTATTTTCAATGTTCAGGTGGAAATTAAGATCCTAATCATAATATTTTAATGATTGAGATATAAATATAGATATGCATTCGTATATATTTACGTGTGTATCATAAATCCTTTTTTTAAATTTTTTTAATTTTTTTTTCTCTCTCCAAGATGAGCTGCTTTGTTTCTGAAAGTTTCCTAGAATTTTATTGTTCATAAATGATGGAAACAAAATGATAGCTATTAAACACTGTGTCTGGCACCTGCTGACTGTAATGAGCCACCAGCTGGGTCATAATACCTCTCTGAAGGTTAATTAATACAAAGTAGTTAAAAGCCATCTCCTTGTAAAACGGTTTTATTTAGAATATTTCCTGAAAGGGACAGTGACGTGAAACAAACCTATACACGAGCAGTAAGCCTAAAAATGTTTTATCCCTGGAATTGGTGACAAGCTCAAAATAAAGCAAATCAAAGGGAAAAGGCTCAATTTCCCATCAATTAATAACTCCTGCTGTCTTTGAATTCACTGATTCATAAGTAAACTTCATTGCTTTTTAAAAATTTTTTTTTATTTTTTGTGATTATATCATATCTCCCCACTCTGCAGATATGCGTGTGGGCAAGCTTGGGAGTGTGTTCTTTTTAGATTACTGTGATTGGTTCTGGTTCCATGCCAGCACCCAAACATTCTGTGTAGTACAGAAACCTGTTCGATTACAGAGTTCTGTTCTATGATGTAGAGGGGAGAAAGTTGGACATTCTGGTGTGTTTTTTTTTTTTGTTTGTTTGTTTGTTTTTAAGTGTGTATTTATGTTTAACTTTAAGCCTTATTCAGTACCACACTTTCCATGAGCATATATGGTAGATTATGCTAACGGAGTGTTACTATAATCTTACTTTTGGTAATGATAGGAGGCGATTTATTAGCATCTCTCTCTTTACTGAAAACTTCCAGCAGCACAAAACAACCAATCAGAAAATATTTCAACTTAACACAAAAGGCCCTGAACCACCCAGCTTTTCCTCTTTCTTTTAGCGAACCAAAATTAAAGTTTCAAACAGAGTTCAAACCGCGAACAATCCAACAGAAATCCAGAAATAAACTTGTAATCCAGACTACGGTAGTGGGAACATCCAAAGTGTCCGTAGAATCGAGAAACAAGGTATAATGTGTTGATTAAACTGAAAAGAAACAGAAAGAAGTGTAAGGCAACTGAAATGATGATGTACATAATCCAACAACTGTCTATCAATTAAGTTCAATAGATGCAACGAATGTAATGGTTAACAAAATTTAACAGTCATCATACAGAACGCTAGTCTAATCTAAGCTTTTTAACCACATAACTTAAAGGACCACTATAGTGCCCTGAGGGTGCCCCCACCCTCAGGGACCCCCTCCCGCCCGGCTCTGGAAGGGGGAAAGGTGTTTAAACTTACCTTTTTCCAGCGCTGGGCGGAGAGCTCTCCTCCTCCTCTCCGCCTCCGTTACGCCCCGCCGGCTGAATGCGCACGCGCGGCAAGAGCTGCGCGCGCATTCAGCCGGTCTCATAGGAAAGCATTTACAATGCTTTCCTATGGACGCTGGCGTGCTTTCACTGTGAAAATCACAGTGAGAAGCACGCAAGCGCCTCTAGTGGCTGTCAATGAGACAGCCACTAGAGGATTAGGGGGAAGGCTTAACCCATTAATAAACATAGCAGTTTTTCTGAAACTGCTATGTTTATTAAAAAATGGGTTAACCCTAGCTGGACCTGGCACCCAGACCACTTCATTAAGCTGAAGTGGTCTGGGTGCCTAGAGTGGTCCTTTAACATGACATATACAACTGCAGAGAGAGTGTGAAAAACCTAGTGAGGTTAGCGAGAATCTAAAATTAGAAATGGATAAGAGCAGAATGGAAATTACCCAGAGTGGGAAACAAAGAAAGGGCAGGAAATATTCACCTCCTGTCATTACTTAAATTATAGGTACACTCCGTTAGCATAATCTACAATTTTATCACATGACAGGAGGCTTTATATTTGCAGTTTTAACGCCCAGAATTGAGGAAAGTAAAAGAAGCGTGAGAGGATCGTCTAAAATAAAACACACGGAACGTAGATTCTCTTGACCAGACTGCGCATCGCATAATGTCGATCAGCGATGCTCCCGCCAAAAACGCCTGAGAAGCCGCAGCCCCGTGAACCGAATGTTCACCTAAGCTAGAATCTATACCGGCTAAAGACAGGGTCCAGCGAATCCATCTAGCCAGAGTTGTCAAAGATACTGGTTGATGGGGTCTAACATAGGACACCAAGAGTTTACCCGAAGAAGCCCATAACGTCTACTTACCGTAAAAGAGTACTAACTGCGCACAAGCGGGGAACCGTCTGGAAAAACTGGCTAATTTTTAATTTTTTTATTTTTTTTCCCCCCAAGCATTCCAAGCAGAGATGTAACTCCTAGGGCCCAGGAGTCCTATAGGAGATCTTTAAATGCCTGCGATAAGCTGTGGACCGTCCAGGCTCCACGGAAAATGTCCCAAGCCACCAGGTCTGGTTTCCCTTCTAATACCAGCGGATGTGGTTTACCCCCTGAGGACCTGTCAGGAGGAGGGGAAATGCTAGCAAAATAAGTGGATGGTCCTAAACAATTCAGTAGATCCGTGAACCATGCTTGGTCCCTTCAGAGGAGGGTGAGGAGAAGGAGGGATCCTCCGTGGAGGCGTAAGTGATGTATCCCCCTAGTCAGCATGGCGAATGGAGGGAAGGTGTAGGCCCCCTCGTCTGGCTAAATTCTATAGGAATGCATCCACCGCCTCGCATTCCGGGTCTGGGAGCAAACTGAAGTACCTCGGGAGTTGTCTGTTTGTCCTGGAGGCAAACAAGTCCACTTGCAGAAGGCCCCTGAGATCCATCCGGGTGTGAAAAATTGAGTGATCTAGCCGCAAGTCACTGGTGTCTCGTCAGTGGTGAGAGAACCAGTCCGCCGTGAGGTTGGTGATCCCCGGGAGCTCCTCCGCCTGCAGCATGATGTTGCGTGAGAGGCAGCATTTGTAAATGTCCTTCGTTGCTTTCATCAGAGAACAGGATCTGGCTCCTTCCAGTCGATTTGATGTTTCGAACTGCCGAGATATTGTCCACCCAGAGCAGGATGCAACAATCTGAGAGGCCTTTGGCCAGACTACATATGGCAAATGATCCGGTGATCACCTCCAGGCAATTTATATGTAACCCAGTCTCTTCGTCCGATCACGGACCTCCTGTGGATACGTCCGCGCAATGAGCTAACCAACCCCAGAGGCTGGCATTCGACTCCACCACGAAATCCAGTGATGGCCCAAATATTGCTCCGCCATTCCAGGTTTGCATGTGTAGTAGCCACCTGCCCTGAGAGGGGTATCCAGTGATCGTATGTATAGCCCAAGCGTAGGTACTTTGCCTTCAACTGTTGTATGGCACGGTAGTGCAGAGGTCCTGGAAAGATCGGTTGGATCGAGGAGGAGAGAAGTCCTACGATCCGTGCAATTAATCTCAGGGGGGACCATTTCCATGCAAAGGATCCGTCTAATCTCCTTCCGGATAAATGCTATCCTGGCTGCGGGTAGGAGAAGAACACAGCTCACAGAGTCTATTTCAAAGCAGAAGAATTGTACCAGAAAAATTTGCTGTAGAAAAACTATCCTTCTGGGGTGAGCTGGACTACACGTTTGGCGAAGTGATTTGATCTTTGTCTATGAGGAGTCTGTTCTCCCTGGAAACCTGTGTAGGTGGTGTGGTGCTAGTGAAACTTGATAACATATTCCTGGATCGTTTTGTAGGATCCATTCGTCCGTAGTGATCGTCATCCAATTCAATGGCCTGCAGTAATTGTGATCACCAGAGTACATAATGTGTAACTCACCTGCAGGGAAGCATCCCGACCTCTTCCTCTAGATCCTCTGGCGTGGTCAGCGCTTCTGTGAAACGATGACCTTGACGTGTACGATTGATAGAACGAGGAAGATTGTGCATAAGCTCTGGGGCCCGTGGACCAAAATCAGCTGGTGGCTCGGCCCCCCTGCCGACCAGCCCTCCCAAAAACACTTCTGCCAGGTGGGGGATGGGATACTTGCTTTAGGGAGGATTGAGCCTTGTTCAACATTGTGGAAAGGTTAACGTGCTTCTTTAGCTGAGTTACAAACTGCTTTGCCAGGGGCCCCAGCTCTTTGGAACCCAGTTCCAGGAGTTTCAAATCCATTCTCAGAATTGCCGACCTCTCGGGGCAAAGGGCAGCGTTGATGTTGCACTGAGAGACGCAGGTAGGCTTCACCCTTGGGTTTGGGCAGGGGAGCGCGGGTATCCCTCTCAGGATAATTGTCACCAGTACCGTTTCAATCACGTACTTGGAGTCCATTTGGGGCATGTCTTGCCAATCCTCTTCGTCGGAGGGAGAATCCTTAACCCGCCATTCATTCACCATCTCCAGATTGTGAGGTGGGCAAGAGTCATCGTCGGTTGAGTGGGCCTTTATCCATCCTGTAAAAGACAGCGACAGTCTGTGGGCGTACGGTAGTCAGTCGCACGCCAGATTCCAATCCGAGTATAGTGCCAAATAAGAGGGGCTCACCCTCCAGGTGTACGAATGGGGGGGTTTCCCGAAGTGAAATAAGAGACGTGGGAGTCTCCAAATTTGTGAGGTGGACCCCCAAACATGCCAATTTATTCTATGGTGGAATCAAAGTTGCCAGTGGTGACATATACAGCACAGGGGCCCACCCCAGTTGTACGTCAAGGCTGGGACTCTCATGGTCAACAAAATACAGGTGTCTATAAACAGTATGATAAATGGGAGGAGACCCCTCGTGACAGTGATAGTGTCACATCTGATTTCTAGGGGCTCACCCCATGTGGTGTGCCTTGTGCTACAGAGGGCACCCTCAAATGGAAACTGGTATATAGGCAAACAGGCACAATGTAAGGACATATAGCACAGAGTGCAGCCCTGCAATTAGGTACACCACAGAGCATGGTACATAAACAGTTAAGCAGTTGCAGCTCACAGGTTGTGGTTCTATGTGACAGTAATCCAATATAGAATGACACGTGTGTATAATAAGCACTCCTTTAATGGCATAAATGTAGTATATTTCCTTTGCAAATGGTACCTTCATGGCAGTTAAGCGGGACTTGCAGGTTCCCTTTAATAGGTAGTATATGACATCTGCAGATAGAAGCACTTGTCTGAGGGTAGTTGAAGGTCCAGATCACGGTAATACAACTCTGGAGGGAGGGAGAAAATGGGCAATGTTGTACTTGCGAGATCCCAGATTGCCACCGCGTGTAATGCGTAGCGGGGTCTGTGGATTTGTGGGCCCAGTGTCGAGACAGCAGAAGGGGACCAATGTGTGTGGGCAGAGCCCCAATACAGAGTTACAAACCCTCAGGTGCACCTAGGGGTTTTAACCCCAATATACAGAAATCTTCCCGGCAGTGCCCTGCTGCAAAATGCATATATGTCCAATCTGCAGTGCAGCATAGCCCTATAATGTATACATGTGACAATCTATCTATGGATGGCCACAGATAAACACTGAGGGGAGTAACTTATGATGTCCAGGAGACACAACCCAGGATGTAGGGTGAGAGGGCCCTCTCAGGCTGTCTCCAGGCCCAGACTATGGTCTGGGAGTAGGTCCCTGACTCAGTGTCCCAGGGCCAGGAGGGGAAAACTCCCAGCAATCAGACCTCCCAAGGAGGGTAATCACAACCAGGGGAGGGGCCGCGAGTAATCCATAGAAGGAGCCGGCCGCAGCACAGCGGCCACGTGGAAGAGAGGATCCGGCCACCAAGTAGTCATGCTGGATCGCGAGTACCCCAGAGACCAGGAGAAATCATGCGGGAGCTCAGGTGGATCGGAGGAGGCAGCCCGACAGTCAGCCTCCTGAAACCCCTGAGCACACACAGCCCGATTATAAGGAAAAAGGGGGTGATAAGATATAAAGATCGGAGGTAAGATAGATGGGGGGGGGGGGGTAGAATCCCAAGATACAGGCAAGCAAAAGAAGGCCCACAAAGACCCCCCCCATGAATCAAAATAAAATATACAAAATAAAGTAAACTAGGGAAAAGCAAAATACAGAAAAAAAACTATACATCTCCAAATAAACTAAATATAATGTAAATAAGCAATATGAGATCCCACAGCCACCCACTATGAGCAGGAGGCAGTGGTACTCTGACTTATACTGATGTGGAGCAGCAAAGGAAGAGGAAGTAGTTTGTGGGGACGGGAATTTTATGGTCTCCTTTCTTTTTTCTGATTGGTTGTTTACTCTCTGTGTTAATGTGCTGTTGTGGAGTTCTAATTAAGAGAGACTTAAGCAAATATTTGCCTCCTGTCCTGTAATAAAATTTAAATTATTTTTATTGCAATGGCATGAAATTTTTAAAAAATGTTCAATGATTTTCTAACAAATCTATAAAGAACTTTTGACCAATCTACAGTTTCTTTAATAACTGTTCTATTACTTTGTCTGTTAAATTTTATACTATCTAGATTTTGTTTTTCCTGTTGAATAGTAAAAGAACAGGCTGTTGTAAACATTTTACACTTTGCATAGTAACAACCACAATGAAGTTTAAAGGGATCCTATAGTGCCAGGAAAACAAAGCAGTTTTCCTGGCACTATAGGGTTAATAGATCCCACCTCCCTCGCGCCCCCACCTCCCACGGGCCTGAAGGGGTTAAAACCCTCTTCAGCCATTTACCTAAATCCAGCGCCGATGTTCCTCGGTGCTGGGTCAGACTCCGCCCACGTTTCTCCAGTGACTGTCAGCCGGCGGGGGAGACCTAATGCGCATGTGCATTAGACCTCCCCAAAGGAAATTATTATTCAATGTTTTCCTATGGAGAAAATCTGACGCTGGAGCTCTGAGAGGATGTCCATTGTCAGAAAACGGACCAAAAGTCTGTTTGGATTCTGAAAGCCCTCTAGTGGCTGTCTGGTTTTACATTGCAGCACTTGGTGCAAAATGGTCACAGCACCCAGACTACTACAGTGTCCCTGTAAGGATTTTCACTGGTGCCTCTAAAAGTTAATTACTTAACCTTAATTTCCAAGAGTTTGCCATTTTCTCCCAGGCAGTCATTTATAATAACATCTTGGTTTATGCAGGACTACACAGAAGTTACGATAATGAGTACCTACTTAAAGTAACGTTTTTCTTGTGCATCTGTATTGAGTATTTTCCAGACTAGCGTTTCCCAATTGGTGTTCCGCGAGAACACAAATGGGGTTCCGCCGTAATTTCGCCTAACAAAATGGATGCCGCGATTTAATCACTTAATGGCCTGGTCAGGTGCTGTGCTACTTTTATGTACACGATTGGGCCCATGTAGTATCGACCGGAGATCAGAGTTGCTGCCGCACAGAAGGGGCAGAGACTGGAGACGGCAGCCCAGACATGACAGAGAAGAGGCTGGAGTGAGCATGCAGCATCTCACTCCCATCAGCCTCAACTTACCTTGTGGTCCTGGTGATGTTGGCTAACAGGAGGGTGGCTGTGGTGTATGTCAGATTGTGTATGTGTCACTGTGTGTTTCAGTGTGTTTTCATGTGCCAAGGTGTGTGTGTGTGTATCTGAGTATATGTGTATTTGTGTGTCAAGATATGTGTCACTATGTGCATCTGAGTGTGTGTGTGTGTATGTGCCAGTATCGGAGTGTGTGTATCTGTATGTCGGACCGACTCTCGACTCCCGAAAACGCCGGCTGGGTAGTGGGACTGACCATCTCCACTGCCAGTGCTGATGGCTGCTGCTGGGGAGAGAGACCGGTTGTCTCTAATCCCTTTAAATCCTGTTGCCGCTGGGGAGTCGGACCGACTGTCTCGACTCCCGGTAACGCTGCGTAGTGCTGGGTAGTGGGACCGACCATCTCACTCTCAGTGATGCATGCTGCTGCTGGGACGAGGGACCTACAATCTCCTCTCCCAGTAACGGTGGCTGCTTTAGCAATATAGATGAATGTGGCCTCCATTCGTTTACAGACATGGGATACGGCCCCTTAATGCGAAAAAAGGTTGCTAACCCCTGGTCAACAGGGCAAACATTTTATTTCATAATGGGGGATTTGCCTTGCTGAATATTAATTGTAGGGAACTGAAACCTTCGTAACTAAAAGTACCACTTCTCAAATTGTGTTAATTTTGTCCACTAATTTTTGTAATGAGCTGGGCACCCTGTTAGTATATGGTCTTATTCGCCAACACAGCTAGATTTTGGCTTCATTTACTACAAACTTCTGTCTTCATCTGGGACTCCAGATCTTCCCTATTTTTTTTTTCCAGTAAAATGTTTTAGTCAACATTCAGACTTTTTAATAATAATCCACTATATATATAGAACCCATTAATCACTGTACACACACAGCTTTGTGCAGTGCCTGGGTAAAAAACAAAATATCACCTTATGCCTTAAGTTAATGAATCAAGTCGCTTGACAATTCATTAGCACACGCTGCAGCCACCTTGGCAACTTTGTCTGCATCCCACATATTTACTTTATACTGAGTTTGTGTGGGTTTGTAGGTGTGTGTGTGTCATATCATGAAGGTTATGGATCAATAAAAAAAAAATGGAGAGGTGATTTATAGAGATATATTGGAATGAAAGATCATAGATCAGATCTAATTGAATAAGGTCAACATTGAGTTGTTACCATTCTCACACATAAAATTTCAGCCTTCAAAAATAGCTCTGTTTGGAGCCAGCAACTGATCTGCACATCTACTGCATTTGTAAAGTAGCAGCGCAGTTTCAGCCCTGTGTACAAAATAAGAGATTTGGATTTGGGGGAAAGATGCTCAGTTGTAAACATTTGCTATTTATTGGTGTAATTGTAATAATTGGTGTAATGTTATTTTGTAACTGTGTTTGTGTTTTGTTTTTTTTTTAATCAAGTTTTTCATTTTTATTTTGAAGAAACAGTATAAAATAAGAACAGTATGGGGCATAAAAGTCCCAAATAACAAAACTATTTAGAGGACACGAAAATACAGTGTACAGTGACGTTATAATTTTTATTTTATTTTTTTTATTTTTATTAAGCAGTATATAAATAATTTTTAACTGATGTGGTATTCATCACATCCTTGGACTCTCCCATTGCTATAACAAAGATTACCAGTAGAAAGGTATCACCATAGAGTTATTCACTGGCAATGTAACATCTGCCAATTATATCGTTACCAAAAACCGCTAACACAATGCTGGCTAATTACTAAAACAATTTTTAAATGAAAATCAAGTCCCCCACATCAACTTGGACACATCACAGATATCGAAATATGCCTTAACTATAAATCTCCTGTCTTCTCTAAATCTTAGTCTCTAGCATTCCAAAGTCAGAAATATGAAAATGTATTATACTAAATCCAAGGTAGGGCAAACTATTTACACCGATGCATAAAACCCTTTCTGATATACAACTATAGGATTTTCCCACCAACTAAACCATTATAAACTCTAAGATTGCCACTCTATTCTGCCATTTTAATGGGGATATTCCTTCTGAATCCACACATCAACAAGAGTGTGGGTACATTGCCCCAATGAGGTAGAGTATTAGTAGCACACCTAGATATTCCATTGTTAAGTATACCTAATCAAAAAAGATTTTCTAACTTTGTGTGTTGCGTAACCAGAATTTTAGGGCTTTTTTTTTTTTTAATTTTTTTTTTTTATATTTTTTTTTTTTGCTGTGCATGAGGATACTGAGGCAACCTGTAAAGCCACAACAGCAGTACAGGAAGAGAGACTGACATAGAAATACACATAGATTGAAGGGATATACATATAGTAGTGTTACGTTATGTGGCATTTGCGGACTTTGCACGATTTTAGAATGTATAGTAAAAGTCATGCTAAATTAACATGTCTAAGTGCAAGGGCAACTCAACATATATATTCGAAAGTGTAATATTAGACATGGTAAATGTAAGGCAAGAATAGTTAGATTAAGCTAAAACAGAAATTTCTCAGATTAAGCCTCCTAGGAGCTCCCCAGGTTAGTGGGAATAGAAGAGATGCAAAATAGAAGCTTATAACTCTGTTAAAAGGGAACGGGTGAGAGGCTGTATGCCCTTCAGTTCCCAGTTTGTGTGTTTAGTTCATCCTATGCACTCCGTAGGCAGAGCACATACCCGTAATAGGGTGGTATGTCGCAGGCCCCTGAACCCAGATGCTTGCAAGCTAGTCCATGCAAAGGACAGGATTAGGATTCTTTTGTAGCTAGTCAGGCTTTCCACAAGAATCCGCTTTGAGCCACTTACATTGTATCTCCCACACTTGTGGAGTCCCAACATTGGTTCGGGATGGTCTCCTCTTGCGTGCTGCCTATGTTAGGGCGTTGGGTGTTTCCTGCCCTTCCACTATTTTTGGGCCTTCACTTTTGCCCGAGCCATGGGTTTCCACTGCTTAGGAGGGATCATCTGTGGAGGCGAGTGGTCACTCGGTTGGTTTGAGGCAGCTTGACCCCTATTATGTTCTAGTTTCTACCTGAAAGCGTCGAAAATTCTGTCCAGCCTAGACACTATCATCCTTTTTCTTGTCGATGCCGGGGAGCCATGTGGCGTCTGCCATGTTAGATGGCTCTTCAGTTTTCTTCAGTATCTGTGGCTTCACCCTTCATTCTCCCTTTTTTTTGGCCTGTGTGACTTTATTATATTCAGATTAAGTGCTTTTGTTACTAAACTCTCTAAACCTGTTATAACTAACTTCAAATAAGCGTTACGGGGACATAATTGTATATTGTTTGTGTGTACTAACATGTTTAAATAAAACAGTGAGAGGTATTCATTAAAATGTTAAAGATATTATACAAAAAAAACCTTGCCAAAAATTTATTGGCTCATTCAGTATAAGATAAATTTTTGTGTATACTCTTGTGAGCCATTGGACCTGAAATGTTGTTTTCTATCATGCTCCACCTGGAATGGGGGGGACGGGGGGAAGCAGGGCAGTGGGTATTCAAGTTACAATACACAGGGGAAGGTGGGCGCCACTGAAAAGGTTTAGTGCATGAGTCCACACTGGTAAGCAAGCCTTCTCAGGGTTATCCTTGGGCAAATAACAGTTGAAGTTTTCTGGTCATGAAAGCCACAAGTCTGTTTCATGCAGTTTAAGCTGATCTAATGATGTGCCAAAGCTGCTTTTGTGGGAATTTTTAAAAGCCAGGCATGGGACCAACCTTGAGCCTGCCTTGCTATATTCCAGGGCTGTTGGGGTCCTTGGGGGTATATTTAAACAGGATGAGTGCACTTAAATAGTAAATTGAAAGTTTGGAGGGTATCAATCAACATTAAACAAGTTCTACAAATTTTCAAATAAAAAGAATCGCAAATACTTCACGGCTCAGTTCCCAAGACAATATCTAATGTAAGATTCAGGTTAGATATAAGAACCAAGCTGATTTTACAGCCTTGGCCGACCTTGAGGAATTGCCTCTTCGCAAAGAACTGTTTGTGGATAATAGACAGAACAGTTAATAAATCAAAGAATGTTAGGATTTATATCTTCTATCATTTCAATGCATCTTTAGCTGAAAGAGGCTAACAATTTATTGCCCAATTCTTGTTACAATCCATATCTTTTAATCCTCCAGGGTACTGTCAAGAGAACTCCTGTCTGTATACTTCATTTGTTTTGTGTATTTATGTAGGTGTTTTTTATTTATTTTTATTGGTGAAAAGTGCGATTAGTTCATCTGAGAAATTTAAAAAAATGCTATTAAAATGAAATATAAAGTCATGTTAAACTTTTTGCCATGTTGGTAAAAAAAAAATAAAAAAAATAATAAAAATACAATTTGCTAGTTTGAATAACAAGGGGCTGATTTGTATGTGTATTTAATACATTTTTACGACTTTGTAACTTAAAAACGTGGCTCGAAGGTTAACTAAACTCCTGACTAGTGGTGTCATAGTGACAAAGTTTCACTTACTGTTTGTCTAAATAGTAATACAAAGTACCGGTAATACATGCTTACTCCATGCAATGAGAGAGAGGATGTGAGTGTTGGTATGCAGGAGGTTTCAGCTGCATTGAATCTGCCCTGTCTCTGACGTCACTGAATCACTCTGTCCACTCAGTATGTATGTTGGTTTCGTTCACAAGGTTTGACATTGTAGTTTATGCTAGTGTGCATTCAACGTTTGACTAGAGGGTGGAAATAGTGTTTGTGACATGAGCGTATACATGTGTAATGGATGAAAGTCAATGAACTACTACTTTGAATTAGTCAAATGCAGATTCATTTGTCTAAAGAAATCTGTTTTTTGCTATACCTCTTATGTTGTACTTTTTACTTTTTATTTAAAAAAAAAAAAAAAATTTAAATAGGAAATTCGGTAGAAGTATTGGGCGCCCATGCGCCAAGGCTTGCCTCGAACCCACTCAGTAAAAAGAACACTGCGTTGCTGCTAGAGTCTCCCAATATGTAGAAATTCAAATTTCATGTCTTTGTCATATGTTCTTGTGGTGATTGTTATGTAGGTTTGTGTGTGTTCATGCATGTCCTCTAGTACTGGATCCTTCTATGTGTAATTACTCAGAAATTTTTTTTAGAAAGGCCCTGGGAATAGCATTATCCACTTTCATATTTGTTTTGGAAATCATGTCTTGACCAATATATGCAACATGGTTCTGCTGAAGTAATCCTTAATTGCTGCACCATGTCCATATTTGGACAGCATTGATAGGCTGAGCATGTCAGATGACATGATTAAGAATCTGTGGAGAACTCCCACCCTTCTGAAAAAAATCACTTGAAAAGGCATGTAGTGGTTATGGTGCTTAATCTACCCATTTTCCTTCTGTTTATCTGAAAAATTCTAAGTTTTTTTTAAGCTTGCTTGCTGCTTTGGATTTTCATTGAAGTAGAGACTAATTTGTCTTATGGACAGGCCTGCGGTTGATAAAAGGCAGAGCTCCACTATCCACAAGTAACGACTGTGGGATTCAGGAATTGTGTTGCTCATGTCATCCCCCATTGATTGTAATCTTGTGCTCTTGCGCATGCGTGTAAGTATAGCACTGATTTTTGCCTCCTGGCCAATTAAGTGCCATGAGCTGAACAAGTTCTGGAGGAAGAAAATGACTTCAGATAAATATACCAACCTTCCACTTGATCCAAACTGCATATTGTTCAACGGTACCATCTGCAAAGACTCCAGAAAGTGACAGATTCACTTTAAGTAATGATATATTTTATTTATTTAATTTCCTCTCTTTTGGCAGGTTGAGGAAATTGTTGAAACTGGAACATTTGCACCTGAAGATGTCCACATTCCAAGCATTTATGTGGATCGAATTCTCAAAGGAGAAAACTATCAGAAAAAAATAGAGGTATGAATTTTTTGTTCTATAGCAGATACTTATTCAATTCTATTATTTTATGTTTAAATATGGTCACTCCATAGTTGCAGGTATGCGTGGAATCACAACAAGTGTAGTTACCAGAGGTTTAGTAATCGTTTATAAGCATTTCACAAGTGCATGAATGCATATTGTACTTGAGAATCTCAGGAGAATCTGCAGGGAAAGAATGATTAGAGGCAAGCACATCTCTGGCAATTGAATAGCAATTTCCTGTATGTGTTAGTGGTAAAATACCTATTTGCTATGTAAATTTAAAGGTACATTCCAAGAACATAGGATTAAAGGAACACTCAAATTATCTTATAGAGTCCAATGCCCTGTACACAAGTGAGCGGGTAAACCAAGTTTTTATTTGACAAAACTTAGCAGAAAACATTGCATGTTTCCTCTCTGAAGCTTGATTGGCTGACTAATTGCTTGGTTTTTAAATCTGTTTGAGGGGTCCTCACTGCATGTTGCACAACTGTAGTTGTGCATTTTTGTATTTTGTTGTATTGGGCAGAAAACTACACTTTATTGAATGTATCATGTTACAAGCCTTTGACAGCTTGAGTTGAACAAAACTGTAACGATGTTACAAATGTGTCAAATGTAATAGGATCTGCTGAATATTTTTTATATATTGTAGAATTGTGTGTGTATATATAAAATTTTGTTTTCTTTTCTTGATAGAGGCTAACCCTACAGAAGTCAGAAAATTCCACACCCAAACCTAAAAAAGCTTCCGACCTTGTAAGAGAGAAGATAATTAGGAGAGCAGCTTTGGAGTTTGAGGATGGGATGTATGGTATCCTTTAATTACTAGAATTAGTGAATCAGTGTACAGAAATAGTCCTGTCTCTGGAGAATGTAGAACTATGATCATTGTGGGCACTGAGAGACCAGGGTTGGAGTGAATGGCAAGATACATACACATGGTCAGGAATGGGGATAAAACCGGTCTTCCAATCAACCTATTTAATAGTGGACTGCTAACTTCAACCCCCCATAAAATACTGCATATATATTTAGCACATGTTGCTCAAGGGACTAGATGATTAGGTGCCCTTTGTGATCTTGGCCATTCATTTGATTGATTCATTTGATATTTGACTATGAATGAGTACCAAGAGACACGTGTGATGTGTGCCGGAGTCAAAGACTCTATTTTTGCCTTTACCTAAAAAAACGGTTATGTGTTTGTTATTTAGCGTTGGGGCAGTTAGCGCTTAAATTATTGGATCCTGAATTTTTATTTTTTATTTTTTTTATTCTGGGATGTTTAGGTTACATCAATATATTGATTTGGGGAAAACCATAACCTTCTTGAGACCTTCATATGTCTTTAACTAAAAACTGATCCAGATGATTCATTCAATTTATATCACTTTATTTAACAGCGATTTTTCTAAACCATGGAAATTGCATTAGTAAAGCAGAATGACATAAAGTTTCACTTCACAAAATTTTGTTTTACTTTCAAGCATTTTAGTTTCCATTGCTATTGGTATTTTGGGGAAAGAGTGCCATTATTTTTTTTTTTTTTAAGCATCACCATTTAAAAACATTGTTTTATTTATTTAAAGGGCACCTGCCATGTCTAATATGAAAGTCTCTCTAAACCACATTTAATTTCATCTATAGGAAAGTATGCTTGAGTGCCTTGTTTATAGTGTTTTGTTATTGTTCTTTTTCCAAACTGCTTTTGCATAGTTTGGCAAAAAATTGCCCTCTCTCTTGGCTCGTTAAATCAATCCACTAGGCTCCAGTAATGCCCAGCAGTTGCATCATGTTGTTGCTGTCGAAGGTTAGATGGACTTTAGGTACCATGACTGCCCCGATTTTTTTTTTTTTGGGCAAACTGTTCAGGTTGTGTGACTAAAACTTGAGATAATCTCTCTGCACAATAACCACTAAACTTGAAACATTCTTTTAAGTTTGTCTTTAGCTCTCTGGTTTTACTTTGGTGTAAAAAAAAAAAAAAAAAAAGTTGAAATTCTAAGTCATTCCACCTTAGCATATTAGAACTTAAATGTGTTGACTTTAACAAACCAATATTACAGCCAACCTAGGCATCGGCATTCCAATGTTGGCAAGCAACTTCATCAAGAAAGACATCACAGTCCACCTTCAGAGCGAAAATGGAGTGCTTGGTCTGGTAAGGCTGTTTTTCTATTATATTTTAACTATTTATAACATTAGTGTTGATCAGTATTAAATGTACTTAAGGTGATATTTACATTTTTTTTTTTTTTGTTCTTCCAATTGTTTCTAATTTTAAGATTAATATTTTGACATAGCACTCTCCATTTAGATACAACTATGCTCAATTATAAAATGTTTGCTAATTTTATACTTGGGTCATCTGTAGAGGTTCTCAACCCTGTTATTGTGCACCCCAGATACTTTACAGTTTAGTCATTTTGCAGTTCTCAAGAGGATATTGATAAAACCGGCAAGGCAGGGTTGTTTGGTGACTTGTTTGTGAATCAGTCTTTTAAATGGTAAGAAGTAGAGATTTTCCTCAGATGGTGGCATCTTCTGTGTTTTTTTTTTTTTTTTCTCCAGCTCCTGTGAACGTATATGAAAATCAGAGGGGCAGAAAGAGTAAACAGACGTATAGCAGGGGGAAGGGGTTGTCTACTGTTTTGATTATACAGATTAATACATGCCATGCATTGGCTTAGATTTAACATAAATAAACTTTTGTTTATGGATGTCTTGACATAATACTGAATTACCAATTTAGAGTAATTAAATGGACTAGAGAAACATATTTGTAGAGAAAGTTTACACATAGTATGATGTACAAAAGTGATTTCAGTGACAGATGTTTCAGATTTTTATCAATTCCATACTGTACTACTTACTCATAATTTAGTACATTTTTAGCAATTTGTTTCTTTCATTTTTTTTATTACTCAGGGTCCATATCCTTTGGAAAACGAGGTTGACCCAGATCTGATTAATGCAGGCAAGTGAACAGTTGTGTTCTGAACTCAATTTTGTATAGCAATATTTAAAATGTATGTGTTTGGGTGTAACAATAATATATTGTGTATAATGAATTAATATTATATTGTATTGAAAGACAAGTAGATGGCCAGGTGCTTATTGACAGAATGATGCAGAAGATAATTTTTTTTTTTTTTTATACACTATAGTCACCAGAAAAATTCCAGCTTAATGTAGTTGTTCTGATGAGTATAGTCAGTTCCTGCAGGCATTCAGAGAAAAGGCAGTGTTTACATTACAGCCTAATGATAACTCCAATGGCTACTTCTCAGATGGCTACTAGATGTGCTTCCTGGGGGATTGTTGCACAGTGTGCAGCAGTGCTTTTCAGTGTCAACACCCTCTGCATGGAGACACATAATTTTCCTCATAGAGATGCATTAATAATCTGTCTGGTTAATAATCACGGAGATGCTGATTGGCTAGGATGGCATTTGGCTTAGTCACCTGCCCCATCTCCTTAACAATCTTGGCAATCCAATGCATTTTTATGGGAAAGCATTGTGAAATGCTGAGATCACCACAATTGATGTCAGCCAGGGCAACAAATCAGGGACAGAGCCAGCCGACTGGAATAAAGGGAAGATTTTACTATATTTAGGGGGCTAACAGGCAAGATAGTGTTGTTTTTAAAAAAAAAAAAAAAAAAAAAGATTTTTTAACACTATAGGGTTAGGAATACATGTTTTTGTTACTGACCCTATAGTGTTCCTCTGAAGGAACACTATAGTCACCTAAACAACGTTAGCTTAATGAGGAATTTTTTGTGTGTAGATCATGCAGTTTTTACTGCTCAATTCACTGCCATTCAGGAGTTAAATCACTTTGTTTCTATTTATGTCATTTTTGTCACACCTCCCCTGGCTATGATTGACAGAGCCTGCATGAAAAAAAAACTGGTTTCACTTTCAATCAGATGTAATTTACCTTAAATAATTGTACCTCTTTCTCTGTAGATTGAACTTTACTCACATACAGCAGGGTCTAGCAGCTATTAACATAGCCGGGGATAAGAAAAATAAACAGAACTTGCAATAAAGGAAGGATAAACTGTAGATGACTCTTTACAGGAAGTGTTTAGGAAGGCTGTGCAAGTCACATGCAGAAAGGTGTGACTAGGGTTCATAAACAAAGGGATTTAACTCCTAAATTTCAGAGAATTGAGCAGTGAGGTTGCAGGGGCATGATCTATAAACCAAAACTGCTTCATTAAGCTAAAGTTGTTTTGGTGAATATAGTGTCCCTTTAAATATATTTATGGGGCGTAATGGCAAAGAAGCTGTTTAGCACATAATGTGCATACATATAGATATGTAATTCAATTAATTGATATGATCTTTATCATCCGTGTGTGTATTGTGTGTAACATACTGTATATGCATTCTCTATTGCTGTTACAATTGTCTCAAATGTATATTTTATAATCCATGTTTAAAAAGGTATCTTTGGCATTTAAGTACAACTGGGCAAAGTGCAAAATTGTATTTCATATATTGCACAATTATTGCAATCTGGAGGCGGGGGGTGTGTTTTTTTTAATTTATTTTTTTTATTTTATTTGTTACACTTTGTTCTCTATGTGAAAGAGCTGGCAATGTCCCAAACTTTCGTTACATCGTCTTAGCTTGTTTACAATGATTATGCCACATTCTAGTTTATTATGTCTCTATATCTTCTGTGTGTGTGTGTATTTGTGTATATTTATAATATTATACACTGAAACAAAAGATGTACTCACAGGGAATCACTGTGAAAACAGTGCTTTAGTTTTAATGTAGTAACCATGTTACAGCATGGTTATCTGATCAACGTTTTAACCCCAATGTTTTTTCACCGTAAAATAGTTTTAACTGTGAAAGCCCTTTGAGTGCATCTTTTGTTTACATGACCAAGATATTATACTCACCCTACTTCAAGAGTGTGCGTGATGTAGTTGTGGTGGTGAAAGGGTTAAAGTTCACTATTTGTCTGCGTTAGAGCGGCAATAATGATAAAAATCCCACTTAACACCCCCCACACTTAGCCATGATATAAATATTACTAGTTTAGCACTGCCACCACCAAGACCATTTATAAATGGGGTGCCTTGGCCCCCCAGGTAACTTAATAATAACCCACCAAGTACAACTTGGCACAATATCTATACAATTGCACAACACTAATTAGTCTCTTCAGTTAATGTGATTATTAACCAGACAAAAGCAGAACTTTAAAAAATAAATATTTACTGTGAGCAGTGCATAGAAAAACGAGATGATGCACAAATTATTTACACCAACAGATAAAAAACCCACAAAGGATAAAATAACAGAAGTCCTAATCACTTACTCACTTAGGTTTTCAAAGTAAAACTTCTGCCCAGGGGCTCTCTGGCAAGGAAAATGGTGACTCACTCAAAAATAGTTTTTGGCCCCAAGCAAGTAGAATACACACTTCAGTATCATTAGATGTAGATAAGGCGTACCTATAGAGACAATAAGTGACCACCCCTTGTGTTCCAGACCAACATCAATCCAAACTGAAACTTTTTCTTCTATCTCCTCTTTTGTACTTGCCACCGAAATAATAATTGGATTTATGAATGTTACCATTTTTCCATTCCATAGATATGTCACACTCCTTACTTATGACTCAATGTAGTAGACATCACACAGGGCCGGTGCAAGGAATTCTGCCGCCCTAGGTAAAGATCCATTTTGCCACCCTCCCTATGCGTTACAAGTTTATTCACTAAACCCCAAACAGAACATTTCACTTTTTTTTTTTTTGTGATTAACAATTTATTAGATAAACCCCCAAAGAAAATATGCTTTTATTTTTGCAACATGTTTTTCTGCAAGCCCCTAGTCTGTGCCAGGTAATACTCCAATGGAGAGGCTTCTAATGGAGACTACGCCTCTGTGCTAAAGCCGCAATTGTGCGCATGCACACTCAATCACAGTGTTCCTATGTTTCCAATTAAGCTCTACTTCAGCTAATTGAGAAAGGGAGAAGGCAGGCGCACGCTAGTACAGCCAGTCTGCCTCTTCTGCTAGCTCTGTGGAACTAAATGAAGTGGACGAAAGCCTTCCTGGCTGCCTGACACATATGGCAAATGAGAGTTTATATTTAAACCAGGCTTCCAGGCCACTTATGTGGCCTCTAAAAGGTTGAACATTAGGGTGCTCAAGGTCGGTTGAGGAAAGGGCAAAGAGGGGAGGTAACAGGCTGTGGGGCTATACAATAAATTGTTTACTGAAACTGTGCTGCTTTGCAATGAGGAGTCTAATAATGTTTTGTAGATTTTATTTAATTTTATAATATATTACAATTGAATAATAGATCATTGACTTAAATTTACTATTGAAGAATATATCATTTGAATCCATCTCATAAGGGTGCAAAGCTGTAATGTTGTTCCCTTTTTTTTTTTCTCAAAAGAACACTTCAGTGTTAGAAATACAAAGATGTATTCCTAACACTAGTGTCCCTTTGCCCCAAACATGTCCGTGAAAGAGAGATTGTGTTCTGGGTGCCTGCAATGTCTCTTTAATGAGAGGATGACATACTTACTGTATGGACACAATCCGCTAAAAGAAAAATCATGTAACATTGAACATTTGTAAAGCAGTTTCTTTATATAAAGCTAGCTCTCTTACAATATAATTCTGTGACATTTCTGATTGTACGTGTTTCCACTAAGTGGCCTGGTGATAACAGAAACACAAATTATAGCTGTTACTCTAGCTTACTTATAAGCTTTGTTGATTGATGCACAAGGTATTCAATAACCAAGTTTGGTGACCCGACTAGTGGGGCTAGAACATATCCGTTTCTATTGGAGTGAAGAAATTCTGGTGAGTTTAGTGGATGTGTGCTGATTTTTTTATTTTATTTTTTTTTATCTTTATTTTCTAGGTAAAGAAACTGTGACAATCCTTCCAGGAGCCTCTTTCTTTTCCAGTGATGATTCCTTTGCCATGATTAGAGGGTAGGTAACCATACAGATATATTTTCCTTTTCACTAGATTGTTACAATCAATTTGATTAGGTGATGCGTCATTTTCAGGCTCCATAACCACCCACATAAGCAGTGTAGTAAAAGTGTATTGCCTGTTAAATTGTCCAGTAGAAGCCTTAAAATCTGAGACTAAAGTTATACTCCATGCAATTTTGTCCCATTCGTGCTTTATACCTGTGACGAGAGCAATCTCGCCACATTGCATTGGAGAAGCCAGGTTGCTCGCCTACTGCCTTTGGACTATGGCCCCATGTTAAAAGACATCTTTTTTCCTGCAGAACAGACTTATTCGTGCTTTTCTGCCTGGTGTTCGGTAGATTCAATCTACCGAACAACCGCACGAATGGCCAAGACCACCTGGGAGCTGGAGTGTGTCGGCAATTAGCCTCCCTGAAGCTGCGGTTAACTGCAGCTTAATTGGCGAATGCTGGGTGGCCGCCATTCGTATCACGAACACGAGGTCGCGGCCATTTTAAACATGCGAACGTACAGCGGTGTTCGACGCTTAATTCATGGAACTAAAATCGGACACAGATTTGCGCGAACACCGCTGAAGCCGCCAATCTCCCCTTCTTGTTCGGTGAAAGTGCACGAACGGCCCGGTGTTCGGTAGTTTTACTTGAATATGTTATACCCCAGATGGGAATCCCATGGAGCCCATTCGCATGAGAACTGACTGTGTAAAGACTTTGGCTCCATGGCGATTACACTGTATTCGTGTGGTATGAGCGCCATTCGCTTAATAATGTGCGCTCAGACCTGAGCTATCTGGGGACATGTTAAATGTATAGTTTTAATGTAACATGTCCTACATGGTGTATTTTAATAGTAATTCCTGTTTTAGTATCCCCACGTGCATAATGGCGATTTGCCTTTGTCTTGGGAGATAATTGAATTACTTCTCAATTATCTCCAGGTCAGAGGGGTGGAAGCCAGGATGCATTGTGGGAATATAATGTGACTGTGTGTCCTATTTGTCTACTTGTCTGTCACTTGTCACAGTCTCCCATTTGGTCCCCTAGGGGAGTGTCCACCAGGTGGGAGACCTGCATAAATACTGGGCAGGTAGCCCTCATTAAACAGACCACTGCTTGACCCTCAACACGGAGCCTTGTCTCGTCTTTGGGGGGGGGGGTTTGCTGAATGCTGATAGAGACTGATTGCTAGGAGTGTAAGCCGCTTGGATGCTTTTCATATTCGTCTGCTAGCAGTGATACGTATGGTTCCAGTTCGTGTGTTTGGAGTGCTATATTGGATGCAGTTCGGGAGTTTGGAGCACTCCCTTATTGGCGGTTCGTGAGTTTGGTGTTTTACAATAGCTGTGCCTGTATCTCTGGAAGGGGAAGATCTACTAAATGGCGGTTTAACCCTTTTATGCTGAGGGTCCGTTACAATACCCATAGGTCAAAGGAATACCATAATATTAAAAATAGATGTAGATACATTGTTAGCCAGTACATTGCACCCTTCTGCATGCCCCAATTACAGAAATTAAGGACCTCCAAGGGAAGCTAATGTCCTCTCCAGAGACCAAGACCATACAATCCGCGTTTAAATAATCTTACCAATAACTCTATAACCACACACCAGAAGGAGGCTATGCAGAGATTTTTTGAATCTCTGTCCCTCCCACCTATTCAGCACTTGTATGAAGAAGCTCTACTATCAGTAATAACACAGGATGAGGTTCTTGCGGTAATATTTGGTCTTAAGGAAGACCAGGTCCATGACCAAGATGGCAATGGCTACTCTTACTATAACATTTTTATTGAGGTTCCTCATACGGTCCCAATATTCAGTGCAGCATTGATTGCGACCCACTAAAGATTAGGTGAGTTTAGTGGATGTGTTCTCATTATTTTACGGTCAATATAATTCTACTGTCAAAGGAGGGTGGGCTGATACTATAGTTGGTAACTACATGCCCATTTCATTACTCTGACACAAAAGTAGAGTGCTTGCTGCCTGACTGCTTCCCCTGCTTCCGAAATTAATACACACTGATCAGGTGGGATTCATTCCTGAATGACCATTACACGAGAATACCAGATGACTTGGTGTGTAGGATGGGTAAGCCACAGACACCTTCTCTGCTTCTTTCTTTGGATTCAGAGATGGAGTTTGACAGGGTGTAGTGGCTATTTCTATTTGGCTTGTTAGGTGTGGAGCTTCCCCTTTCTTATTCTCAGGGCTATTAAGACTGCAGGCACAGTTGAACCTATTCGAGGTACATCCCGCTTCTTTCAATCTATCCAATGGGATGAGACAAGGTAGCCTGTTTTTGCCTTTACTGTACATATTTTCCCTGGGACCTCTTCTTCACATTAAAAGGGAGAACCAATCCATTGAGAGGATTGAGGTTGGAGGAGATCTTTTTAAAATGGCGGCTTATGCCGACATTGTCCTCCCAACACTGTTAAATTCTGAATCTAGACTATACCCACTGTTTGTTCAACTTTAAATATGTACTGTCATTATCTGGTTACAAGATCAATGTAGAGAAATCCCATGCAATATCCATGAACCTGTCAGCTGCTGACATGGACCTAATTATATCAAAATAAGTTACACATGGCTCCTCCAAGGATGATTCCAAAGCTTTTATTTGAAGCAAATTATTCTGTAATGTTTCATAAGATCAAGATGAACCTGGAGTTCCTGAGTGGTGGGATCAGTCTCCTTGGTCAGCAGAATGCATAGCATAGAAATTAATATGAATCCTCCAAGATTGATCTTTCCATTTCAGGTTCTCCTGTTTTGGGTTACAAAGTGTGACCTAGATGATATTTTGACAAATTATTTGGGGTAATAACTGGTATATATTGGCATAGACCAAAAATGGAAAGAGATCCAGGACTACTGAACCTCTTGATATACTACTATTCCACATAGTTAGCACTGATAGTGATGTGGCATGCTCTGCCACAGGAGAACAAAACCACGACCGGTTAATCTTATCTCATGAGGTCTGACCTCCCTATGTTTTATTTGGGGCTGAATAAACCCAGAAGGGCCATTCTCTGTACAACATGTGGTTCCATTCTTGCTTCGCTCTCCATAAGAGACCGAATAAAATATAAATTTCAGTTAACCTCAGATCCCTCTCTCCTGGCTTCAGTCGTCAGAAACAGAGTTCCTTATTGGGATGTGCCCATGGGACTTTAAGAACATACAAGTAGCTGGCATACAACACTACAGATCTTTATGGAACCATTTCTCTGTCATTAACTTTGCAGCTTTAAAAGAAAGAGCCCTTTTAAATAACAAGTCTTTCTTTTGTTACATACAGATTTGGAATTTTGCACATATGACAGGGGTGTGGGGAGTGGCAGAGCAACTTCCTAGCCCTTTTGAAACTCTGTGCCTTCAGGACATGTATCAGAAGGGTCTAGTGTCCCAGCTATATAAATACACACAAAATAAAAACCACTTGCACAATAGTGTAGGTTCCTCTCATGCTGCCAAAACAGCTCTGATGCATCGAGGCATGGACTCCACAAGAGCCCTGAACATGTTCTTAGCAGATCCTTTAAGTCCTGTAAGTTGTGAGGTGGGACCTCCATGGATCGGATTTGTTATTCCAGCACATCAGACAGATGCTCAATCGGATGAGCTCTGGTTAATTTGGAGACCAAGGCAACAGCTTTGTCATGTTTCTCATTCTATTCCTGAACCATTTGTGCAGTGTGGCAGGGTGCATTCTGCTGGAAGAAACCACCGCCATTAGGGAACAAAATTCCAATGAAGGTAGGTGGGTACATCCACATGAATGTCAGGACCCAAGGTTTCCCAGCAAAACATTGCTCAGAGCATAACACTGTGTCCACCAGCCTTTCCCATAGTACATCTTGCTGCCATATTTTCCGCATGTAAACCACGCAGACGCACCAGCCCTCCATCTGATCTATAAGAAAATCTGATTCATCGGACCAGGCAGCCTTGCTTAATGATCCAGTTCTGGTGCTCACATTGCCAATGAATGCACTTTCAGAAGTGGACAGGGTTCATCATGGGCACTCTGATCGGTCTGTAGCTACTCACTGACACCTTTCTGTAATGGCCAACTGTAACGAAAGCTGGTATTTCATATACCCGTTCATTTTGTTCCTCCCGAACTGCTAGGTACTTGTTAATTATAACTCGCAGTTCGGGACACTAATTCGACATTTCCCAAGAATCAAAGTGCAGCATACACCCGCTGTTCAGCAGTCACATACCTAAACATGAGCCTAGACTAGGTGAAGGGTACAACAATGTTTTATTCAGGCCAGATGGCTGGCTTTTATGTGATTCAAGAGTAGAGTAAACTCCCCCAACACGCCCACAAATTCTGAGTCCCCATGACTCTGCATAAAACACAAAATATAGAAAATACATAATACACCTAAAACACATAGGAACCATTATAAATGTCATATCCCTGGATAGCCTGGATCTGATCGCCCAAGTTGTCCAAAGCCGAATCGCCAGCGGGGTAAAATTTTGACCGACCGCTCATGAGGCGCCTGCCCAAAACCGTTCCATAGTTTCAGAGGTAGAGGTCAGTCCATTTCGGAAGTTCCATACTGAACAAAACCACGAACGGTTTCCCTAGCTCAAGGGCAGCGTTTTTTCACCTGCTTCGTGTGAACAAACCCACCGAACAGCACTCTCCTGGCTTGTCTGGGAAAAGAAGCAGGCATTCGCGAAGTTGACCGGTGTTTGCTGGGTCGAGTGTCCAATTTGGAGTTCAGACACTCGATTACCAAGTCCCGCTGACTCCTTTCATGTGACAAGATGGCCGCCGTTTTCTCCAGCATGTGGCGTTCGGTTATACGAACGTCGGCCACACAGGGAGAGTACTTAATCCTGCTGTTTCTTTATTGTTAATGAGCCGGGGGGCGGTCAGTGTTCAGTAAATTTATATACCGAACAAAGAAAAAAATTAAGTTTGGGAACCAAAGAGTATAGTTTCATTCAGTCTTTCAGCAATTTGAGCTACAGTTGCTCTTTTGTGTGCTCGGGACAGTTGGGATAGCCCTCGCTCCTCATGTGTCTCAATGAGCCTTAGACGCCCATAACCATGACAATGGCTCACTGGTTGTCCTTCCTTGTATTACTTTTGGTAGGTATTTTCTGCACACTGTGAGCACCCCACAAGACTTTCTGCTTTGGAGATGCTCTGGCCCAGTCATCTAGCCATAACTCTTTGGCCATTGTCAAAGTCACTCAGATCTTTCACTTGCCTATTTTTCCTGCTTACAACACATGAACTTCAAGAACAGACTCTTCACTTGTTGTCTGATATATCCAACCTCTTGACTGGTGCCATTGTAATCATATAATCAGTTTTACTCACTTAACCTGTCAGTGATTTTAATGTTGTGGCTGATCAATGTCTGCTCCAGTTGCACAGTCTGGGATCAAATATGTTCTGTTTCTCAATGGGAAAAGTTTTTGTTTATTTTCTGGGGTGCAGTTGAGGTGGATGTCTGGGAAGAGATTTGGAAAGCAGCAGTCAAGTTTTCGAAATGTGTCACAGCACAGGATATAGGTATAAAATTATGTTCCAATGGTACACCACTCCTGTCCAGTTATGTCCCATAGGGAAAATCCCCACTGATTATTGTTGGAGATAATGTAGATATCGTGGCTCAGACCTTCATATGTGGGGGGCCTGCTCAGTAGTAGTCCCTTTCTGGGACGGAGTAGGGGATCTTTTGGCAGCAGTTTATCAAGGCCCTTTGATCTAGACCCCTGGCTATTACGATTGTCTAGGGACCCTTAGAGGGCTTCCTAAAGAAGGCTCAGAAATTGATCAACAAAATAACCTTAGCAGCAAGGAGACCTTTGGTATCATGATTAGAACTAAAATAGACGGAAATCATTTAATGGATCAGCTAATGGGCAGGGTTCATGACACCTTGCCCTCTTTCTATAAAGTTTGGGATTCTTGGCGAGGTTTCACCTCCATGACATAAAGACAGATGTTAGTCAGTTGCATTAGGTCTCATCTGTGGTGGTAACCCCTTGATTTATACAGTCAAGATGAACCATGGCACATATCTGTGAAGGGATGCGATCAGAGTTGTAGTGCTTTTTTTGTTGCAATTATAAAATGTTTTGTGCCAGATCACAGTGAGAGGATCTCATTGCTGCTAGGTAAGTAGCACATAGGTTGTTATGGTGTTTGGAATGTCCCTTTTAATTGTGGACTGTAATTTGCCCAGGCTTATATAAAATATGCAAAAGCTAAATAGATCTGTAATATTTTCTAGTAATTTTAATTGAATGGTATAGCAGTCAATATTTAGACTTTGTATGTGTAAATGGGTAAAATTAAATGCTACAAAATATCCTATGATCCTTGCTTTATCTTGTCTGTCTTTATAGGTAATGTGTAATTTTATCCTGTCCGTGTTTAATATTTATGTCTTCATTTTTCCAGGGGTCATGTTGACCTGACAATGTTGGGTGCTATGCAAGTATCGAAGTATGGAGATCTTGCAAACTGGATGATTCCGGTGAGTATTTTATCTATTACTATTGCAGTACTGGCCATGTTGATCCACATATTGGGAATTTATAACTTTGGGTAGAGTGGTACAACAAATAACAACAAAAAAAATACATATATGTAATTGCACCGATACGCTAAAATGGAACGTCACTTTTTAGCATTCCATATCAACGTTGGATAACGAGTCTTCTGCAGTGCTCTAAAATGTAACTTTAAATTTGGGACACAAAGCTAGCCCATGGGAAAAAAAAAATTCATGGCTAAATGGTTGTTTACCAATTATGTTGCTGATATGATCTGTGTTGATTTAGAAATTAGCAGACTTTTTTTATTTTTTATTTTTTTATTTTTATTTATTGGAAGTTTACTTTATCTGAAAGAAAAGACTTTGTGATGCTTGACCTATTCTGAATCTGATGGTAATATAGTTCTTTTCTCGCACAATATAAACCAGACAGGGAGAATCTGGTAAAGAGTCAGCGTGTCTTTAAGTGGTTGGAGCCAGCACAGACATCTGAGAAAAGAGCATTACACAGTTGTGTTGGCTGCAGTTTAATATGCTCTTACTAAGGTGCCTCAGCTGAGCCTTGTGGGAGATATCAGTAACACCTGCAGAGAAGGTCGTGTATCGAAGCGGGTGGGCACTCTGCTCTGCTTACACTAAAGATGATTTGGAGATTCAGGGATTGGTGAACTGCATATGAGGATGTCAGTCGTACAATAAAATCTTCCACTATAATTACTGAAAGAACTAATGTTGCATAAAGTCTGTTTCTGAAGCATGTAACAGAAGTTCATTATCTTTTCTAGCAGCATAAATACAAGTATTTTATCTATTAATTAGCTTTGATCTTTAAATGTGTAAAATCAGTTTGCTGGAGAGAATATCTAGTTAAATACTGAGAGATATATATATTTGTATGTGTGTGTGTCAATGTATATTACATAATGTTTATTTTTTACTTTCTTCAAAGACCTAGAGATGATTTTTTTTATTTTTTTTACCCATTTGCTAAATTGTGCCGCAAAAACTTAAACTTGCTACTCTACTAGTGAAAACATCTTTGAGTTTCTGTGTGTTTGTATGTATACATTCATACATACTTTCATGAAATAGATGCAAAATAATGCTGCGTGGTAGTAATTTTATTGGGCTAACAGTATTTTGGAATTACTAGTTTTTGGAAGTTGATTAATTGGTAAGAAGAGATGTTTACTATCAAGCCACATGTGACTTACTCTGTACTATTGTGGGTTATTCAAGTTTTAAAAATAAAAGCAACTTATAAAGTGCTTTTCTACTGGTAGTACTCAGAGGGTTTTGACCAATTTTGAATACTTTGTACCATATTATTGGCAATCCATGTAAGCAAAGGAGGGTTGGTGTCCCATGACAGATTTTTGAGTTGTTGGTTAAAATCCTTGCTGTGGCATTTTCTACTAGAGAAACTTGTGCTTGAGACCATGATTAAATGTGTTACAGTAGTCCAGATGGGGATGTGACCAGTGGATTTATTATTGTGAGAGATTCTCTGCTGAAATCAGGTGTTTGATTCTGTCAATTTTTTCAAATGAGGAATGAGGTTTGGACTGCAGCTCATTTGAGTCCCTGGGGTAAGTTCAAAATCAAGCATTATGCCTAGGTTTTTATCATTGATGCTGAAGTTCAGTTTTTAACATCCGTATCCCAGACAAATTTGATCTTAATGCAGCTTAGTTGCTAAGCTATCACACAGCTCACACCAATAACTAGTACCTGTGTTTTGTCACAATTTATTTTTAACCACTAATACTCCACTCCAGAACATTATCAAAGCATTTATTGATCCCTTTTTTTTTTTTTTTTTGAATACTTGATCTTGGTTTGAAGGAGATGTATGTCTGAATATCCTCATCTGCATTTTTTTTTTTTGTTTTGTTGGGATCTAATATTTTATTAAGCATAGTTAGAATTCTCTTGGACCTTTTTAAAAGCCTGCTGGCATTGCGATGAAGTGTTCTTGGTGCCTATAGTGTCCCTATAATGGTAGTGGTCAGTCAATTTAGGGTTTTTCCTGGCTAATCATGGCAGCAGTTAACTAGTGGGGTTAGCACCTTCCTCCAGCCAGTGGGACAGGAAGAACAATTAAATTATAGGAATATATATATATATAGTTACAGTGGCGTACACATGACCCATGGGGCCCCGGTGCGAAAATTGATCCGTGACTCCCCCCCCACGCTTACTCGGTGCAGGTCGGGGCTGCAACACACGGCGGCGGGCACCTGGTCGCAGGGGTTGCAGGGCTGTGACCCCGCGACCGCGGTATGCACACACACTTAAAGGACCACTACAGACACCCAGATCACATCAGCTCAATGAAGTGGTCTGGGTGCCAGGTCCCTCTAGTTTTAACCCTGCAGCTGAAAACATAGCAGTTTCAGAGAAACGGCTATGTTTCACTGAGGGTTAATCCAGCTTCTGGTGGCTGTCTCATTGACAGCTGCTAGAGGAGCTTCCGCGATTCTCACTGTGAAAATCACAGTGAGAAGACACTGAACGTCCATAGGAAAGCATTGAGTAATGCTTTCCTATGGGCGGTTTAAATGCGCGCGCGCCTCTTGCCGTGCATGTGCATTCGGAGCTGAGAGGCGGAGGGATCCCCAGCGCCAAGGGAGTCCGACGCTGGAGAAAGGTAAATGCTGAAGACACACACACACTCTCATGAACAGACGCATACACACTAGCTAACAGACACACACATTTACTGACAGACACACTCAGCGACAGACATACATACACACTCTCTTACAAAACATACACTTTCACTGACAAACACACACTCACTAACAGACATCACACACCCAATAACAGACACACTCACTGACACACACACTAACACAAACACACACACACACATTTTTTTTTTTTAAATTTAATCCCCCCAGCCTCCTTACCTTTTTGGAGAGCTGGGGGGATTCCCTGGGGTCCAGTGGTGCTGCTGGGTGGGCTAGCTGTCTGGGTGGCAGGCGCGCGAGGGAGCCCTCTCCCCTGAGTGCTTCCTCTTCAGCTCCCTCGCGCGCCTCATAGGGATGCCGGCGCCAGAAGATGACGTCCTCTTCTGGCTCCGGCATCAGGGAGCTGAAGAGGAAGCACTCAGGGGAGAGTGCACCCTCGCGCGCCGGCCACCCAGACAGCCAGCCCACCCGCCCGCCGGGGTCAGCAGGGCCAGCCTCGGAGGAGCCCTGAGGTGGCCGCCTCCTGAGCCCCCCTGGAGAAGAGGCTGGCCCAGTGGGTACATACCAGGTCGCAGGGGCGGCCGGGCCCCTTGGTGAGCCGGGCCCGGTTGCAGCCGCGACCCTGGTATGTACGCCACTGTATAGTTCCTCAGTCTTTTTTTACCTGTCATCTTAGCCATAAGAAAATACATATTTTTATGAAGGAAAAAAAAAGTATGATCACCTGTATGTTTCCTTTCCAGGAAGCCCCAGGTACACGTAGCCTATCACTATAGTACTTGTGAACCCCTGGGAGCCGCAGGGGCTCCGGGGCACCTTCCTGCAACTTCAATTTCAGCAGACCTCCGAACCCCTTTGGGATGCTTATCTCAAAGGATGGCATCTTATGATGTTATGTGGTATAATAGCAAAATATAAGCAATAAGATGAACAGTCAATTCCTGTAAAGCCGCTCCTATGTTAAATTTAAATTCAAAGTACGTCTGCAAACTTGTTGCAGAGACTCCATTGGAAATAAATATAAAAAATTAATTTATATATTTTTTGTCTAAACAGCTTGCAAATCTGCTGTCTGCAGCCTTTGCCAGCCATCTCCTTTTAGCCAGCTCAGACTCTGTGTCTATCCAATCAGACTTCCCTGATGAGGAATGAGGTCTTTGCAAGGCAGGTTCTCTGAACAATGGCTGCCTCTTCAGCTTTGCACCAGAGAGCTAAACAAGAGAATGCAACATGGCAAGTTGTCGGACAGCCAGGGCAACAAAGTCAATTTAGAAATATGCCAATAACTGTTGCAATCTGCACTATTTGTACAATACAAAATGCAGACACACTCTTCGCATTCAAAACTAAATTGCTCTAGGTGTTTGTACCCCACCTGCCACTTTAAAGGAACACTCCAGAGACGTAAGTGGGCAGGGATGGGGAAATGTCACAGTTGTAAAATGTACAGGATGAAGAATTTCATGCTCCCTAAATAAAGGAGATTTTGTTAATTTGGTTTTGTAGAAACTAGTTAACAGCGACTTGACTGCACACTAAGGGGTTCAGTGATTTGGCTGCTGTACTTTGTATAAGCGTTTTGGGAGGATAATGAGGAGGCTTTGGGTCTTAGCAGAAACTTACTATTTTTGTCAAACAACTTTAAAACTGCATGCATAACCTCCATGCACTCCCAGCTACTACAATAATAAACTGTAACTGTGCTAATTGGCGCATACACAACCAACATTTTATAATGTAAAATTGACAAAGTGCAACAAATTCATCTGCTTATGGTAAAGTGTTCAATGGTATTTACCGTCCTGACCGGAATAGTTGTGCCCATTTACAGCCGTGTGCCTGGATATTCGATAATCCCAGCATGTCTAGGGATGCCGGCCGCTGCCGATCTATGCCACCTTACAGTCCCATGAGAATAATGTCGGTGTGACATCACACGCGCGCACGTCTTGGGGGTCAAACGCCGATTACTGCCAATCGGAACAACGGGAGGGTTATTTAAACTTATTTGCACATTCTCCTATTGCCCTGTCGTGGTTTCTGCCTGATGGTATTTTGAGAATGTGTTCCTGATCTTGATTTTTTTTTATTTTATTTATTTTTTTGGTATTTGACTTTGGCTTCGTTCTGACTTCCTTGATTTCTGATATCCTTGATTTTTGGCTTTTTCTCATCGCTGTGTTTGATTCTCTATCCCTGACCTTGTCAAGTAGTCTGGATTAATTCTTGGATACGTTAAGCCCGGCCATTCTAAGGTCCGGTTATACATTATCCTTAGCCCTAGGTGTAAAATAATTCTGCGTGCGGGATCACTTAGTACTCCTGACACCAACTATCCAAGTTACGCCTCCATGACCGGGTATAAAAGGTATTCAGTTTGGATGGAATCATCTCTTCCCTTACTGAATAATGCTGCACTAGGGGCATTACATCTTGGTATTCTTAAACATGTATGACTAATTTACCCGCTTTTTCGGCTTAATTCTATAATGCATTCACAATACAAATTGTATTTAAAAAAAAAAAAAAAAAGACATATTAGCACATACAGAGGCTGTAATAGTGCTTAGAAATAAATAGTCAACAAGCCAGATTCATTAAGGTTTGTGTGTGGTTTTCAAGTCCACTACATAGAGAAACAATAACCAAAATGCATTTGCAATGCTAAAAAATGAATTCCATGCTTTTCACAGCATCTTGTAAACCTCTTAAAGCCAACATAATTACTTGCTTTTCCTCCTGTTAAATGGATATTGCTGTGTATTTGATATTGCTTAGAAATACATCTCCTTTGACTAATGATGCATTGGACCTGGACTGGATTTTGGCTTCTAAACCGAGCTTTTGAAAAAGTATAAAACGATTAAATGTGATAAATATGATAAATTGAAGCCTCCTAAGGATTCATTAATATTTATATTTTAAACCCCAGAGCCGGTACAATGCAGAAGCAAATAAATCACTGAATCACTGACAGCAAAGCCCTGAAGCTAATGAATGATAAACTATTAAAATTATTTTATCTAAAATATCCGTGGTTGACATTTTGATGGTTAACATCATTTTTATAGTGCAGGGTAACTAGCACTATGACTTAGAGTCTGACCTTTTGATAGGGATAAGTGCAGCCATAAAGATAAGGCATTTAGGTGTTACAGTTAAACTGGTCATATTAAATGCTACAGGCATACTCTCTGTAAGATATTGATCGTCTAGAAAGCCAAATCATACTTTCATTATTCCTCATTAATTGGTGATCACGTTATAGCCACTCTTTGTCAGTCTATAGTAATTGCCTGTAAGAGACAGGTGCACAATTGTAGGACTGCTATAATTGCCACATTTAAAATAAATTATTCATAATGTATGCATGCACTGAAAATTTAATTTATTTATTTTTTTAGTATTCAGCTGCATACCACCATGACCTAGTTTTTAAAGGGGTACTCTTTAATGAACTTGAGCAAGAATTCATGAAATGCATACATTCACACGTAGAAACCGCATCAATCTGTACTTTATTTTGTAACTATATACAGTTTGCTACTGCGCCACCTACAGTCCACTATGACAAACACTTTCATGTATAGGATGAGTTATGTTTTAATTCCAACAATTGTGACTAAGTTGCTTACCTAGGATGGTATGCTAATGCTCTCATATTCCTACCTCTGTTCAATCTATTGGTTAAACTGCAGTTATATTACTAACCGGGGTAAATCTAGAACATATTTAGTGGTTTTGTACAGAAATACAGGAACTATTTGCCTCTAGTAGTTAACCCTACCACCTCACAAATTTTATTGGTGTGGCCCAGGATTTTTATGGATAAATCGCAATATAATTTTTATTATGGTTTTAAATGAGGCCAATGATTTATTACCCAGATTTTGGAAATGGCCCAAGATTTGTACCTTCTATTTTAAGTACCCAATTCTGTATAGTAAGAGTTATGGAAGAATTATATTGGGGAGCAAAAGGTTGTCTTAGTTAAGATATCCTGGGATCAAAATGCTGAAAGGTCCTGTGGTGGCACAAATGGCAGATTCATCGTAATTGTTATTTTAGGTTTAAAAAATTGCTTTTCTTTAAAAAAATTTTTATTTAAATTATCTATTTTTGTGTTATGAATATGGTTATGTACATGATTTTTTTTTTGTTTTTTTAGATGAGAAAATTATTACATTAATCAATAAAGAACAAATTATATTAAAACACCCCTAGACAGTCACATTACAGGAGGAATGTGCTAGTGGCCTTTATGTCTTATGATAACTTTCTATGGAGGACCCTGTGCTGTAAGTGTGATAAGATCTGTTTATGGTAAAAATAAAAATATGGAATGAACCCATTGGTAAACTGAATAGTAGGTATGTGTGTTTTATTTGCTTGACCTGCTTCAATCTGGATTCCGCGCTCGTCACTCTATTTAAAAAGCTGTGACCAAAGTATCCATTAATCTTATCACTGCAAAATCCCATGGCCACTACTCTATCCTAATTCTGCTTGACCTTTCTGCTGCTTTTTACACTGTTAATCTCCCTTGCCCGTTTGCTTCCAAGTCAATGGTGCTAATATCTGCTCTACCTCACAGGCTTGCTTCTTAGGTGTTCTCTTTGAAACCGACCTCTGCTTCACCCTTCATGTCCAATCAATTGACAAATCCTGCCGCTTCCATCTCAAAAACATTCAGCAAGCATTCACCCCTATTAAACTCCTGATGTGGCTAAGGTGCTTGTCCATGCCGCTGTCCTCTCTCGCCTTGATTACTGTAATCTGCTTCTCAGTTATCTTTTATGTTTCCAACTTGTCTCATTGCTGTCTATAATGAATGCGGTGGCGAAGCTCATCTTCCAGGCTGCCCGCACCTCCCACACCTCCCTCCTCTGTCAGTCCCTACATTGGCTTCCAATTAGATATAGGGCTCAATTTAAGATTGATACTTGCTTACAAATCTCTACATAATGCTGCTCCAACCTACTTATCCCCACTAGTACACAGGTATGTTCCGTCTAGGCCCCTACACTCTGCCGAAGACCTACGTCTAACCTTTGCTTGCACTCCTACCTCTGCTGCTCGTCTTAAAGACTTCTCCAGGGCTGCACCTTTTCTGTGGAACTCCCTTCCCTTCTCCATTAGACTTTCACCCAGTCTCCACTCCTTCAAAAAATCTTTGAAAACTCACTTCAGGAAAGCATATCATTTAAACAGTCAACAGCTTTCCCTCCCTGCACCCTGATTCCACTCCTGCAACGGTCATCAAAACAAAACTAAGCCCTCCGTGAATACTATCCTAGCAACCTACTTTTCTACCCTACCCTTGCCTTTTGTGTCACTATACCCCACTCCCTCTAGCGTGTAAGCTCATTGAGCAGGGCCCTCAAGCTTTTTTTCTGTGTGTTTAACTAGTCTGGTTACAAATAGGTGTCTGGTAGTCCACCCATTGTACAGCGCTTTATAAATATCTTGCAGGTGGCATTTCAGGTTAGATCTCCAAGTGGAAACTCATGAAATTAAATAGTAAGCCCATTGAAAGGGACACATCCGCACCATGACCCAAACAGCCTGCTGTGATTGTTTTGCTTTCAGAAGTGATGGTGCCCTAAAAGAGGAAGCAGTCTTGCTGGGTACCTATTGCTGCCTCTCCTGGTGCTGTAAAGCTTCACCAAGGAGCTTCTGTTGGCTCCATTGAGGGTTCAGATTGAACCAGGGATGGTTCATTGACTGAGTGTGTCATCTGAGCGTTGGAGCTTCTGGCGGAAGGGGAGGCCACCGCAGAGGTCTCATGGGACCCAAGAGAGTTGTCCAATTGTTCTTAAACAATTAGGATATATACTGTTGTTTATGCCATGGTGCTTAGTGTTCCTTTAATTTTTTTTCTTTTGCATGTTTTTTACACATAATATATTTAATTAGCATGAAATTACTTATGACATCAAGTTCTAAAAATTTATATGATTAAAATGACAACTTATGCTTACCATGAAACCCATTTCTGTGTAATACAATGTAATTGATAAATATGTGATGTTTGTTATGGTAACACATTACATCCACGTACAAACTAGATCTGCTGAGTGTTTAATCAAATGCAGGTTTTTGTAAAATCTGGGTTGTTCATCATTTCTACCTCACAAAAAAAATCAGCAGTCGTCCCTTCCCTCTTCTCCCCCCACATTTTAACAATTCTGAGTTTGGGTACACTAAATTATTTCTGTAATCAATATATGCAGATTTGATTTTCTTACCTGAAGTAAAATATAATTACCTCCTTAACTGCAATATAATATCTGCCATTGATTAGCAGTTTTGCTAAGAAATAAAATGTGAATTTGTCTTATTTATAAAGTGCCAACAAGTTTCGTAGCTCTGTACAATGGGTGGACTAACAGGCAAGTATTTGTTACCAGATGAGTTAGATACAGAGGGATTGAGGGGCTTGCTCAATGAGCTTACATGCTAGAGGAAGTGGAGTAATTTGACACAAAAGGTAATGGTAGGATAATGTTCAGTGAGGGCTAAGTGTTTTGTTTTGATGACCATTTCAGGAAAGGAATCAGGGTGCACGGACGGAAAGCTGTTCAGTTTAATTGATCTGCTTTCCTAAAGAAGTAAGTCTTCAAGATTTTTTTGAAGATTGGGTGAAAATCTAACAGAGAGGGGTTCCATGTTTGAAGGGTAGAGGAAATGTGCCTGAGGGGGGAGAGAGAACATTTTAGTGAGAGGCAGAGCAAGAGAAGGAGATAGTGCGGATGAGATACGATGTATCTCATGTACAATGTCATAATGTGTGTGGTCAATTAGCCTGATTTTTTAAATTTACAATTCACTACTAACCATTGTTTACTGAATAAACCCTATGTGTTTAACGTAACCTGAAAGATTAAGTAAAAACACATAATATAGTCTATGGCATGGTAATAATAATTAAATGAAAGTCAATGCTCTTAAATGGCCTTTAACTTGTAAAATAACCAAGCAGTATAAATCAGATAGTTGGGCATATGAGGCCAGAATTGCTAAATTGCAGATGTATCTCTGCCAGATAATGATCGATCCAGACGTCTGCCTATGTGTTGAATTCATTTCAGCAGCCCAGAATGAAATGCTGTGTAAGTGGGTCTTTGGATACACCAGAAGATTGATCGGATACAATTCTTATCTTATTGAATAGAGACCATCAAATGGATGTTAATTGATTGACTGCATAGGATCTGAGCAATCTTAATAGATCAGAAGATAAATTATCTAGCTGAATAATGTGTTGTGGTATACATTAATTAAATCTCCTGTAATTTACACACACATTTTTCATATCAATTTATTTTTAATTTTTTCTAGTAAAACAAAATTGAGAAGTTTATTCTTAAAGATTACGGAAATAAACACATTCATTTTAAAACTCAATGGGGGAAAAAACTGTTCTCCATATGCATCATTCATTCTAGGTTTATAGGTATACTTGGAGGGAATGTAGAAATATCAGTTAAGATCAATTTGTAACATTTTCCCTCTAAAATGACAACATTATATCATGACTGTTCACTGGGGATTATAACCATCTAAACAGTGTTAATTTTGGTGGAAGACTTCAATTTAGTTTTAGTCATGTTCTTTTGACAAAAAGCCATTTTAGTTTTATTTGTATTTTGCACCTTCCCCAATTTTTTTTTTTTGTCTAGTGGTCTCTCTCCCAAGCACTGTTCTCCTTTACCCCTTCAATTGCCCTTTTGTACAGTGTTAATTTTGACAGCAATTTCATTTTAGTCTGTCTTTTGACTAAGAAGCTATGTTTTGTTTGTCGTTTTTTAGTCCTCTGAATTGTTTTAGTCGACAAAATTAGCACTGCATCTAAAAATAGTAATCTATGGGGGTGACTTACTGAGCTTACAAGAATGGCATAAATCGGCTAAATTGGGAAATCACTTTGATTTAAAACTGCTTTTGTAGCAGAGTGTCTATCAACATCTGTGTCACAACAGATGTGTGTTTGTATTTGAGAGTGGGTTTAGGAATTACAGTTCAGCTGTATAGGTAGTATATAGAACTGGGCTAGTGCTTCTTTCATCGAGGTTAGTGTTTCATGGAATACATCTGCAGCTTGAAAAGAACAGGTCAGTGAACAAGATTTGTGTACATGTGTTTGTTTGATGTTATCCCCGTGAAAGCTGGGTTTTAGCGAGGATGTATGCAGAGCAGAACTGACAGGTTGCATCCCAGACATGTTATTTATCGTATCATGATCATTAATCCATCTTTGCATACACTGCTTCTGTGAATGTTCAATAATACATATATTTTTGTGTACTTTATAGGCACTTGTAAATATAAATGTTTTCATTTCCCCCCCCCCCTGTTTTTATTTTGAGTTTGAATGGAAAATATTTATTTTAATAAACCCGTGAATGCTGAAGATTTGACCAAGCAGAAAATGTATGTATTCTTACTTGGTGATTTATGGACCTAATTCCATTTAAACTGATTTTGTTTGCAATCTTCAAGTATCTTGAATAACTGATCCATACAAAATGCCAACATTTCCTTCAAGCTCCTCAAAGGCACAGCACGTTTAATTTGATGTATCGGGAAGGCTGCTTAAAATTCATAATCCTGTGCGAGTTGAAATATAACTGAGAAACACACTGACCTAAAATATTTTAAAACCTGTTTCACCAATGAGTGCCATGAACAGGCCATGTTGATGTTTGATTTGAGTTTATTGAAGTCTCTGTTTTGTCGTTTTCAATTAATGCGTATGAATCTCATATGTTTTCCTGCGGGTCTTTTGTTTATTTTCCTCCTTTAATTATCTAATTAATTGCATAATGAATAGAGTACTCTACATTGCCTCTAGGGTTGCATTCATATTTATGGAAGTGTGTGGACCCCATGACAATTAATACGTGGTAATTCTTCCTTTGCCAATGTGCCTTTTGGGCTTCCTCATTAGTCTCATAGGGATTTGGTGGGGAAAATTGTGAATGTTTTTATTGAATTTTTTGTTTGTTTCCAACATGGAAAAGAAGAACGTGGACTCGCAGGTCCCTTTGGTTATTTGTATATGCTTATACATCGTAAGGTACGGTCTGTCAGACGTGTATCGGTGACTCGCAGGTCGCATTCTTGAATAAATGGTGTGTGTATGGTGGACTCGCAGGTCCGGTAGTGCATAGTTGTGAATAGTACTCTTTTATGTCTTATGTGTACCATTTCTACGTTGGGTAGGTTTGTATCTCCCGCAGGTTTTCGTCTATTCCCCAGTGCCCACCCTGTAGCCACTAGGCAGTAGTGAGACATGTGGGCCTCCTAATGTGTAGGGTCCCATCAGGACACGCAGACCCCTTGTGACCTCGTGTCTAGAATCCTGAATGGCGGTTTATTGAGGTATTGACCCCCTACTTTTGAACGATTCGGCTCTACTTTCCGTCTAAACTAATAAACTTTGAAGCTCACGAAACTGATGAGCTTCCGCCCCCTGTACCGTGAGGCCGTGGCCGTTTTGGGTATTGCAGACGGCCGCACCCTGACGGGTGTCATAGCCCCCCCAGTACGCTCTCGTGGGGTCAGCCTCTGCTCCCCGAGCCCACGCTCCACCCGGACCTGACAGGGGGGAGATCTGTATACCAGATCTCCTCTGTAACTCGTAACTCCTCCATTCTAGTAAACCACAGGGAAAGCATTGGAGTTGTCTTTTTTTTCCAGTACAAAGGTATTGGGTGTTTTGCGACATTAAGAATTCGGATGGTCATGGAGCGTTTGTATCGTGGTGTGGGGGTTGTCATGTGGTGCAGGAGGTACGGGGCGGGCTGGAAGGGTGGGACATTGCCTGTAAACAGGGCCACTATGGCAGCAATTTTTTCCCAGAATGGTACTATGAGTGGGCATTCCCACCATATGTGGAGGAAGGATCCTACCCCTCTCTTGCACCTCCAGCAGAGGCCGTCCGTGTCTAAGTGCATTCTCTGTAAGCATTCTGGTGTCGGGTACCATTGCGTGAGGACCTTATAGGCCGTTTCCTGAGTTTTACTAGTGATTGCGCAATGGCGCACTAGGTCGCAGATCTTGTGCCACTGGGTCTCGGTGAGTGTTTCTCCTATGGCGGTCTCTGGTTTTGTATTCAGTTTTTATCCAGCTTCATTTTTTCTTGGCTTGGACTAACACTGGCACAGAACAGAAACTCTCAATCTTCAGTAGGTTTTGCACGTTAAGGGGTTATCCGTAACAAAATAGACATGGGTACATTACTATGGTTTTTTGCATCCCTGCAAGGACAGGCAAGAAAGGTTTCCTGTCCCACTAATGATCACTTACTGGAGCAGGTGCTGGTCATTGCCCATCTAGTAATGCTTTATTGAAGGCACTGATGAATAGTACATATGCAACATGTATTCTGGAGGAAGTGCAAAAGGTCTCCATACTGTTCTATAACCTGACAAAGTGAGTTTGAAGGTTTCTTCCATTTCCACATTGACCCAGTTGGAGACCAGTAAGGCAGGTGTAGAAGATTATGCAGGTTCCCACTGCTTGGACATGAGTGTGTGAAATGCTGTGTACCTCTGAAAGTGTTCCTACCAGATATGTGCTCTGTCTCTGCTCTCAAGTTCAGGAGCAGAATCTGTGCGCTTGAGATGTTAAATTCTCTGCAACACCAGGGGAAACTGCTTTAAGCATAACAAGTGAAGGCAGAAGTTCCCTAGTTTTTCACTGATGAAGAAAAGATCCCACTGGCTTGCCAACTGCAGGGGATGGCTTTTGAGTGATGTGGTCAATCCCTTTTCATTTTTGTGGGTCAAAAATAATCTCTTTCTCTTTAGGGAGATATGTAGTGCAGCTCCCGTTCCACTTATCAGATTGCATGTGAGGAGTTGGTTTATCCATTTTTTTTTTCTTGGTACCAAGCTATTTGCTCTGATAGACTTCAACTTCAAGACCAGAACCAGCAACATGCGGTTGTGAGACCCACAAGGTCAAAACTGCAGTCCATGGCTGGTTTCTGCTCATTGATCCTTTTGGACGTTTCTCCAAAACTCTGGCCCTCCAGATGTTGCTGAACTACAACTCCCATGATTATTTGAATGAAATGGATAGCCAGATAATCATGGTAATCCACAAAAATACAACAAAATGAGGGCAGCGTCCTTTACAAGGATATCATGAGGGTGTCCTTTTAAATCATACCATGAGAATCATGGTAGCTGTAGTTCAGTAACATCTGGAGGGCCATAGTTTGGAGAACACAGTTTTAGAGCAAAGTAGGGATTAAAATATCTCCTTAGACATTTTTATGTCTGTTACTAAAGTTGAAGTTATGTAGTCTGCAGCAATTTTAGCATCCCCACAGTTATAACTAGGGTTGGGCACTGGGTAGGAGAGCATAAAAGAAAACAAGACGCAAACAAAAAGATAATTCAACAAATAACAAGCTACTGTTTTAGCATATGATCGGAGTATGAGACCAGGGATATTGATTGGTCAACTTTTTCCCAGGTAGGGGAAGATATAGTGGCAAACTTGGCTCACACTAGCAAAACAGACTCAACTACGCCTCCAAACTCTGCAAGGTTCAAAGTCTGTTCTACCTCATGGAGAGCCCCTCTGACGTACAGACAGCTGGCTTTTCTAATGCACTTGAATACTCCTAACATTATAACAAATATTTATTTTACCCAACAAGCTAAAGGTACAGGCCTGATACATTCCAGTAGGATGCATTGTGTTTGTTCTGTTTTAACTATGAAACCTGTGAACTAACTTATTAGAGATTTATTACGTTACCTGCTGCATATTTTCTCTCTATATTCTAATTGTATTCACAACACTAAGCACGGTCCAGATTTTATCCTGTTTCCTTTTTGTATTGGTTTGCTGGTTTTTAAGTACTCTTGCAGACTAATTACTAAAAGCAGAGTCTACAAAGATTAATTTTTTATTTTATTTAACATATATATCCTCCCAACCCTTTAGCTACAGATGAGTAGGCAGAAATATACATTTATATAGGTAAACTTTATAGAAGGCATATCTTATATGCATATAGTAAAACAAATCATGAGATAAAAACTTTTTGGGAGCAGTGGTTGGATGGTCGGTTTCTTTTTTTTAATTCTTAGTTATTTATTTTGGCAAGATAATTTTTTTTTATTTATTTTTTTTTTATTTTTTTTTATATATTTGACAGAAAATGCATCTATTACATCTGATGTCTTAAACCAAAGTAGCCTATATCTAAGTTTTAACCTTGATTCCACAGAAGCAATGTCCATTTTCCAGTGAAGTTGAGCTTGTGGAGTGGCAAAGTGCGATTCAGGCACAATATCAATTGCAACACCTCTCACATGCCCTCTAGCTACTGTAGCCCTTTAAATCCTAAATCCCAAATGTGAGTAGTTATTTACCACTTTGCTAGTGCTGTCCTTAAACATTACCCGTAGCAGTGACCGTAACAAGGCAACCTAAAGCAGTAGAAAGGGGGAGATTCATAGGATGGGCTACTATTTTCTGTGCTGTTATGCTTTCATTTGGAAATATATGTATTTTTGACCTCCTTTAATAATTCACATTGATAAACAATTCAGGATCAATGGCTGTCATGGCCCTTATTCCCAAATCCCCAGAAGGGCGTTTTGTTTTTTTTTGTTTGTTTTTTTTTGTTGTTTTTTTGGATAGAGGATTAGAATCAAACACTTCATAGCAATAAACATTGTAAGTTGACATTATAACATTGTAACACCGCTCACGTCTTAGCGTTAGTTTATGTAAGAGAACACCTCGGAGCAGAAGTGCTTATTGCATTTCATTTTATTTTTTTTAACTGTTGGTTATATGCTCTATTAGCTGTTCATATGGGATTAGATTAAACCAAAAACAAAATATGTATTGCTTGTTTTAAGGCACAGGCTAATGGTTTCAGATCCCTAGTGAGGATTCATTGGGCAGATAAATGTTTACTAGACAATAAACAGCATGATATATTTATAAACATAAGCAGCTTTTAAACTTCAGCTCACCGTAGTGAATGGTGATTAGGAAAGCATCACTGGATACTGTAGTCTGGAGAAACACTTCATTCTGTTTTGCATATTTTAGATAATGAATAAAAAAAACCTACAATAAATAAAATATATAAGTAATATAAAGTGTGTGTATATTTTATTTATTACACTATCAAATGTACTCATTGTATATCCATTATATATTTTGTGTACTTTTCATAGTGTAATTATTTTATTTATTTTTTCGCTTTTAAGTGGCTATCCCACTGGATATAAAAATAGACTTGCATAAACTAGACTCTAGTTACTGGAGGGCATTGCACCTAAAGCAGTGTCCATTGTCTTCTCTCTCCATTTACTATACGTCTTTCGTTTGTTGTCATTGTCCTCTGTTACGATTTAGCTTTTTTCAGCCTTGATGTCCCTTGAAGAATGCTGGTTGTGATAGTAGATGCTACCAGCTGTCAATTTGAAAAGATGCACTGGCATTAGGATTGACCCTTTTACAGATAGAGGATTATACTTTCATAGCAAGCTGCAAGTTCTTTGTAAGATTCCTGGCTGACTGACCCACAGCAATAACATTGCCCTGCAGGTCTTTGCCTTTGAAAGGAGTGGAAAGAACAGAGAATAGGCTTTGTGATTCCATCTCTGTGGCTGAACTTGCATAATTATTTGGTCACTACAGTCAAACTAGATAGCACCCAGCTTTACAGTAATATTTCTAGTGTCAGGTTTGTCATTCAAAGAAGTTATTTAATGGAGCAACTGCTGAACTAGATTTTTATTTTTATTTTACTATACAATTACTGAAAGATTCTCTTTTCTTTATGCTACTGTGCTTGGAAAAGATACTCTGACCCAGATGTGGAAAACTTTAGCTGCTTTATTTGTTGGACTCCCACGATTCTTGTTTGTCAATTATTTATACTTCAGAACAAAAAGCCAAGGTTCCCCCAGAAGATAATGGAATTCAGGTTCAATTTTAAATCCAGTTTGCTGGTGTCCCTAACTACTTCATGCTTTCCTATACGCATGCTAGATACATTGGCAGACACAGAATTGATGTCTTCAATGGGATGCCTACTATTTAAAGGGACATTCTAGACCACTAAAGCACTGTGACTTGCTGAAGTGCAATATGTGTAAAGAGTGTGTCCTCTTTTTTTAATTTTTAATTTTTTTTATTTTCTTAAACGTGCAGATTTCAATAGAAATTGACCCATTTATAAATTACCTTGTTACACCCCCCATGGCTGCCAAGCAGACAGCCATTCCTGTTACTTCCTGGTTATTTAGCTCAACGGAGATAAACCCGAGACAGATAATTATTTTATTGATAACATGGCCATTCATAACTTTGGATTTACGAGTTGACGAACTGAACTGCAAAAAGAAACTTGGAATAAGGCTGTAGAATGTTTCTCTATTTCAGTGTAATTTTGCAACCTGACTTTCGGTACTTTACCGTTCACTGCTGAATAACTAAGCCTCATTAAATAGGATTGTAACCAAATCCTGGCCAAGGTTCACATCAGTTATGACAAAACTGTTTCAGTGACTTTGAAGTGTGTTGACATAGTTTGCTTTGCATTATTTTGGACTGTGTAAGCAAGCCAAAACGTATCATGTTTATTTAAATATATATTTATTTTTCCATTTCAGGGTAAGATGGTGAAGGGGATGGGTGGTGCCATGGACCTGGTGTCAAGCTCAGGAACCAAAGTTGTGGTTACGATGGAGCACTCTGCCAAGGTAAGTGGACTATGAAATGGTGATGGATTGCACACAGGAAGGATTCTATAATTAATTCAATATTTTAACTAAAATAAACAGACTAATTATTCACAATTGTTTTGACCGTTTCTTGTGTATTTTTTATTGTTGACATCATTTTTTTTTATTTTTTATTTGCCTTGTATCACCATATTATTTACGCTTTTTAAATTTATTTGCAAAATATTTATCATTTGCCCTTTATAACCTGGTAGTTCCACTGTCATCCTCCGCAATTCTGTGCAATTTCCAGTATATCATTCCGGCCCACACTGTGCACACTCGTGTTTGGTTTTTATTTGGACGTGTTCCACGAGTCACTGAATTACTGTAACATATTGCAGTACTATACTCGACCTATGAAGAATCGGCAGCTAAGCAAAATCTACTTAATGTGACAAAGATCAAAAAAATCACAAGCTTGATCTAACCATCACCATGAGAATTAAAGCTTTTGGTACTAAATGTTTTTTTGCTTGAATAGCTAAACTCAGATGGATATGTTGTGGTTTTTTTTTTCTGTTTGTTTTTTTGGGGTACTGCCTTCTCTGTTGCTAAGGAAACCTGTTCATTTTCACAATGCATGTCTTGTTTCTGTGCTTCATAATGATATGCTTAACCATTTGATTTGCCTTATGCTCCACATTGAAGGTAATGAGTCGAACAATGCCCTACTTTGCAGAGTATTGCTGAACATTATGGGAAATAGGCATACTAACCTCCAGCTGTAGTGAATAGGCTTAGAGGAACCAAATGCTTTTTTGTGTACTGTATGCCACAATTTTAAAGAGTTTGCCATAATGCTTGTAAAAGGTAAATCTTATGAAGTTCCATTTTTCTTTACTTATCTAATAAGACTGGCAAAGCATTGTTGGGATAGTAGTTCTAAACAGCTGTGTTTTTTTTCCTAGAGGTGCCTAAAAGGATGAAGTGTGTGTCTTTAGAAAAGTGTGATAGAGGACAATAGTATAACGGAGGTAGTCCACTAGCCTAGAAACAGTAGGCCAGTCCTAGGGGCAGTGCCCATCTAAATCTGATGAGCCTGTAGTTGCAAAGTGCCTGTTAATATTCTAACCAGACAAGCTATTGGAAGAAGACGGAGAATGGTTCTTCCCATGTGCAGAGTGTAGGATGAGGATGTCTGTACCACAATATGCACAATGGCCAGGTTTTGGACAGTTATTACAATCTTGGATAATGAGTTGAGAGATTTTGTTGAGTCAAATCCTGCATTGACAGCGGTGCCCTGCAACTTGCCCATTATTAATTGTCAATTTACATATCTGGACATACCAGCTCTTACTTGTGAGAGACTGTAGACGATCTGTAAATGGTCTGGTAGCTACTTTACCCACTGCAGTAGAAGTTACAGAAAATGGTCATCCACAACTTGTGATGGTGATTTGTTAGGTCACATGACTTTATATTTTTGGGGGGTGTTCACACCCTGACCAGCTTTGAGGAAACTGACTATAATTGCATCAATCTGCATATGTTTCTAAAACCTGACATATATTAACTTAAGGGTCGAAATTAAATGAACGCATAAATGTGAAAAAAGATCTTCAATGTGAGATTTCATCTAAAAATAAAAATGTAATTCTGCCCACACCCCTATTGAATGTCCAAACGAGATAAACCTCTCCAAACAGAATATTACAATTGATTAAGAAATTGGATGACAACTAAGCCAATCGTCATTGAAACATCGTTAATAAACTGTTCTTGCACCATGGTCTTCTGTTTTGTTTTTTTTGACAAGTTCTGGCATCAACCCAAAGTTCTATTCCATTTTGTTTCTTCAAAGGCTCCAGATAACCCTAGACCATTATTATTTCTCATACCATTAAAAAGAAACCTGTTTTAACCTATGCTGTGCTGTACTGTGCGAACACCCCTGCATTGCCTAATGAGTTCTTACTTTGGCACATGACCATCTTCTGTTTCTCGTAGTTCATCTTGCTTTAGGCTGTTACACTGGCATTTTAGTACTAGCCTACTCACATGTTAACCCATCTATATCTTATTTATAATGTTCCATAATCTTCGTTATCTTGCATTCGGATTTGGCATTTGGAGTATTCCTTTAACTCTATCAATGCAAGCCCGTCCGCATAAATGAAAATAAATGGTTTTTCTCCTCAGGCGAGTCCTCTCTCCGCTGCAATGCTCGACCCCCAGGACACTCCCTTGCTGTCTGGTTAAAATTTGGTGCATGTGTGGCAACTGCATAGATCAAATGTGGTGATCATCAAATGAGTGCTCCTAGTGCTTCCCAACGGAAGTTCTCACTTCAACAATTGTTCAAGCAGAGTAAATCAGGAAGCATTCCTGATGTTCAGCTTGACTGGGGTGTTTTTAAATTAATTCAGAAGTGCCAAATTCTTCTGAAAGTATAACTTTCATTCCATGTCAGTGGTATGGAGTGTATGAATCTAGTCTCCCAGTCAAGTTAACAAACTTCCCCTGTGATTATGCAAAAGTGCATTAAAACACAGAAATTAGGCCACTCCATTGAAACAGATGGTTTGGTGAGATGTTTCTGGATGATGAAAGGCAGGACAAATTTAGGTAATAGGGAATTACTTTTACTGGTCTGAAACAAGAGATACCTTCAGCTAGAATTCACAGATACAATATTTATATTATCTATATATTAATATAGATGAGGCAGTTGTCAATCTTGCATATTACTCAAAGACGTCATAACCCGTTTTGAAATTGCAAGGGAAGGAAAGTAAAATATGTAACTTTTAAATAACTCTTAAATACTTTGATAACTGCATGGTTATCAAAGTATTTTTTTTAAGAGTTATTTAAATTGTTATTGTCAAGGTCTCCATCTGCTTTTACACTGTACTTGGTGGACATCCATAGTCACTGTTCCTGTGTTGACAGACATGGACTATCTTTACATGTTTCCCCATACCTTTACCACATATCGGCTGGAAAGCCATTTCAGTATTCTTGGTTTCAAACTGTAAAATGTATATCCTAGAAATGATCCAATCAAATTACTAATCACATCAGTATACACTTGGCCATCTTCCCCTTTGCCACTATGTTCAATTAGCCCACGTTTTACACCCTTACAATTCCCAAGTAAGTCAACTAGGACCATACATCATAGTCAACCTGAAATACAGTTAACATATATATTTTTTATCTGTTCTTTTATGCTGTGACTATAAAATGACTAGTAAACCTGATCTATTAGAGCAAATTAAATTCAAGCATTTTATAAAATGTTAAACGCCATGCTTATGCTTTGTTACAGTGTAATAATACTGTTGGCAAGGCAGCACAGTCCGTATGTAGCTACATCTGAATTATACTACGAAGAGCTTTTAAAGCACTTTGCAAATGCTCTAGGATATCATTTGGGATACGCACTTACTTGTCAAGATAAATAACCAATAATTAATGGCAGGCCATGGTCCTTTGCCCACCTGCCTTTATAATGTGTCATGCTTCACTAAGATGGAAAGTCACGTTTTTCTAATCTTCGTTTTGTGCGAAATCTTTTCTGGGTCTGATCTATGGTGCATGTGTACCTAGTAAATGCAGAGGGAATAAATGTCAAACTGTACACAAGTATAATTCCATTGTTGTGTTAATGAAATAAATGCTTGTCAACCTGTCCCAGGTCAGTGTTTCTCTGCAGTGCTATCTAAATCGATACAGTTAGTGATCAGGTTGTACAAATACTGATTCAATAAAATGTAAAACGGACATAAAATTTTTCTCATTACAATTCAGAACAACATTAAAAAAGTTATACACCATGAATTTTGGGTAAGAATGGTTATCAAGATATGGATGACAGTGATGATTTTTAACACCTCAACTGATACATTCAGCCAATCTGTTTAATCCAAATTTGTAATTGACAATACTAATAAGTAGTGATGTCCCGAACTGTTCGCCGCGAACGTAAACATAAACTTTGACCCTGTACCTCACAGTCAGCAGACACATTCCAGCCAATCAGCAGCAGACCCTCCCTCCCAGACCCTCCCACCTCCTGGACAGCATCCATTTTACATTCATTGTGAAGCTGCATTCTTAGTGAGCTGTCCAGGAGGTGGGAGGGTCTGGGAGGGAGGGTCTGCTGCTGATTGGCTGGAATGTGTCTGCTGACTGTGAGGTACAGGGTCAAAGTTTATGTTTATGTTCGCCGTCCGCGGCGAACCTTTCGGGACATCACTACTAATAAGCAGTGTAACATATGCAATCTTAAAATTGAAATTGAGAAATTGGCCATAGGATTCTGGGAGGTAAAAAGCTGAAAATGTTTGACAGTAGCCTGCTTGCACAGTAACTAATACACTGGCCTGTAGCAGTTAGGGAGCTTCGTGTCACTTTATTACAAACAATTAAAGTCTATAGAAACACATATGTTGATGTTTAGTATTTGTTACAGTTCCATACTTTTTCTCCTTTCCGTCATCAGTTGGGAGTCCCATGAGTTAATGGGAATATATAAAGCAACAAGGGGGAATAACGAATTGTTTTCAAACATTAATACATGTACTTTTCGTTCCTTAAAGGGTGGAGCACACAAGATTTTGGAACAATGCAACTTGCCACTTACTGGGAAACAGTGTGTTGACCGTATTATTACAGAGAAGGTAACATTTAATTTTTCTGCTTTAGTTCAACGCCTACCATCATACTATTTATACCTAAGTTTGTTTGTTTGTTTCTCCAAATGCTTAAAATGTCTTGTAATACCAGGGTCTGTTATAAATTGATTGTTTAGATACTGCTACTGCAAGTTTATCCTAGATAACATTTTAATGGAGCAAACACGCCATTTGTTACAGCTTAATTCAAGTATAAGACTTGTTTTCGGCTGGTAATATATATATATATATATATATATATATATATATATATATATATTTTTTTTTTCCTTTATTTTAATCTGCTCATAATTTTCAAATGAAGTGACCTGTCAGCTACAAAATTATCGATAACAAGGTCCAGTTGATGTAGGTATTAAAAGATCACTGCTGACACCATAAAAACTTTATCTCAATTATGTAGTTATGGTCCTTGGAGACACCTGGCGCTGTGCTGCCTTTTACTGTTCATCCATTTTCAAACCATTAAACACAGAAAAGTGTCCCCAGGTTCAGGTCTGTGGCATCTCCTCTTGTTCTTGGACTAATCCAGACGTATTGGCATGAGTGTGCAGTAATAGACAGATAGCATCAGAGTCTGTATTATCCCAAGCTCAAGAGGAGCAGTTCTGGGACCATAACCACTTCATTGAGATGGCATGCTTATGGCACCCAGTCTTTCTTTGAGTGCTAGTTTAAATACTCTGTGGAATGTTACACTTACAAACCTAAAATAAATCAAACCCTAAAACTTATTACTGGACCTTAGGATAGCTGGATTCAACATTAATATAGAAAACCGGCCAAGGTCATGGAACCAGAAGGTACATAAATGGTAGACAAGCCAAAAGTCAAGGGTACCAGCAGTCAGAATAGTCAACGAGCAAACCAAGGTCACAATACACAAGAATCAATTGCAATAACGAGCTCTCGGATAACCAAACTGGAAACCACAACATGGCACTGAAAATAAAGCAAAATGAGATTAAATAGCCTAATGACTATTCTTATTTGCTAATTAAGGTCACATGGCTTTGGACATTCGTGTGTGACATCCGAAAAAAATATTGGGCAGCCATAAAAGTCTCTAGTGCATAACGCCTAGCGTCTCACATGTTTCTAGACCCACCAACTGCTGAGGTGATCTATACCCGGTAGCTGCCCTCATGGGAACAGTCTGCAACAAAGCTCCTTGCTGCAAATACTCCATGCAAAAACATTCTTACGTTCAAATGCCAAAACACTGCTGACAAATATAACCCTGCAAGGATGGATCCTTAGCTGGCATAGCAATGAAAATGTTGTACAAAAGATTGGGATTTACCTTTTGGCCACCCTTGAACTAGAGATGGGTAGCAAAAAAATTCTTGCACCTATTAACTATACATTACAACTGTTTCATTAAGCCAAAGTTGTTTTGATGCCTACAGTATCCCTTTAAAACATACAGGTTAGATGAATGCATTTGGGTTGTGCTTGACAAAGACCTCATTGATTGAATTCGGACCCAATAAGTATGTAATCTGGATTCTAAAGATATGTGCTGAACCTATATTGTTGTAGTTTGCAAAGTTTCATCATCGTACATTGTTTTAATAGACTATATTTCTTTTAATAACTTAGAATAAAACAATCCACCCATGAATAAAGGAATCCAAATCTATCTGCGCATATACTAATTTATTCAGTAGGTAATAGAACAGTTTTTGAATGCAAATTTTAATTAATGCCCGTGATATAATTTTCTACTGCTTGGCCAACACTGAGAAAGAAGAGATCAACTTTTTCCCTTAACCCCTTAAGGGCACACGACATGTGTGACATGTCATGATTCCCTTTTATTCCAGAAGTTTGGTCGTTAAGGGGTTAAAACCTGTCCTGCCATGGTCAGTAGATATACAAAATTAATGTTTTACAGGAAGAAATTGATTTTATAAGTTTTAAATCTGATGGTAACTAGTTGTTTATATGAATGTATAACAGGCTGTCTTTGATGTGGACAAAACCAATGGTCTGACTCTGATTGAAGTCGATGAAGGATTTTCAGTGGATGATATAAGGAAATGCACTGGCTCTGATTTTGCTGTAAGTATAATAATGGAATAGGTTTCTATTGTTTGTAACAATGAATTATTGAATCACGAATGAGTTGCATTTTGTGTTATTTGCTGGAGGTGATGGGAATCCTATTACTGTTACTTGCCTGATACTATTATTGGCAAGCAGTGCCAGGTGGGTATAATATGCATAGAGTAAAGGGAACAAATGCATGTTATGCTTCTTTGAAATTCCTCTGAGGACATGAAGAGAATAGAAACCAAAGAAGAACTAAAAGGTAACATAGGTGATCTAGGAAGTTCTAAATACATGAAGCCTTGATCAACTTGGAATCTCCGACCTGACTTGTTTGAGTAATTGAGGAGGACTTCAGGGATCCTTTTCTGATATTCTTTTTTTATTTCACTTAAATATTAGTCTTCTCGCTCACATTGGGACTTGTGGACACTTTATTTTTGTTATTTGTGCTTTTCCTTTTTTCCCCGTAATATTTCTCATTAAAGACGTTATGGTTCCTGGAGTACCATGGTAGCATTCCACTGTTTATGTGCTAATTAATTTTTTGTTTTGTTTTTTTGACAATTAGTGAGACCAGCCGTAGGCAGCCTAGCATTGCTGCCTGCCACTGACATGAGTTGGTTATGGCCAATCTGTATGTAACCTCCATATTCACTATAGCCTCCTGCAGGGGATGGTTCCACATGTGGCAGGGTGCCCTCATTCAGTGTCAAACTAATCAAAGACTGTTTAACAATGAAAACTGGGACGGCACCAGGGGATGCCAGAAACAATTATCACTTCAGTGAGATAAAATAGTTCCTAGAGACTCTGTTTAAGATTTTTTTTTCAGCCATTTTTTCATATATTTATCTGTGTGTGGAATTAGGCCCACTGAAGAAATGCGTAATATTTTCAGGACTTTCATGTTTATCTAAAATTCATATTTCAGAAATACTTTTTACTGTTGAACATAAATTGTGTTCATTATCATCCTAATCATCTTTATCATTGGAGCAGTCTGTTTTCAGACGACTCATATTTTAGAGATTCTTCACTAATTGATGTGCAGAAATAGTCTGGCTTGCACTTTCCCTCATTGATCTTCCTCTTGAAATGAGAATATTTTTGTGACCTGGTTACACAATGGTCTTAGCTCCTCAAAGACCGTGATTAAATTCATAATTAACGAATACTAGGTCCTTTTTTTTAAATTTTTTTTTTTTTTTTTTTGTGTTCTTAAGTTTTCAGAGATATTCTGGTCCGCTGTTTAAATTCTTTTTTTTGGCACTTTCCAAATTACCCTGCCATTCCATCTTCTCAACTAATAAAGCATGTTTGGATGGTAGAATTGGGCAAGTATTACGGATAGTCTGAAGAATGACCATTGTCAATTCTCATTGTTTTTTTCAATGAAATATTAAATGTATTCATATTTTCAAACACCTGCCATTGCAGTTTGACATATTCATTCTGAATATTTTATGACTAAGATAATATAGGTAACTGTGTCTAGGATAGCCGTAACAGACTGGGCTGAAATAGAAGTAGTCGTATTACCGGTCCTTAGAGTGGCCGGGTTTAACATTCAATAGAGAGGAAACGTAGTAAAATACAAGCGCAGGCAAGGATAACAGATGGCAAAAACAGGGACTAGCCAGAGTAAGGCTATCAATAGAATAGGTAAAAGAGTCAGGAGAGGGTTACAGAGATACTCAAGGTCAGCAACAAAGCCAATGTCAATACCAGAAATATTACACTGTAACAAGGAAAGCACTAAAGAGTACTGAGAACATACATCCAGTAGGGCACAGTAAATGGGGCCAGAGGAGTTTAAATACAATTTGTGTGATTTGATTGGCCAACGACGCCACATCGTGCATAAATGGAAATGCTGGACTGTCATGGACCAATCTGAGCCAAAAATGACATTAAGTCCCCTGTGTCTTTAAGAATGCGCTCTGAATGCAAGAAGCTTTCTCAGTGCTGGTATTCGGTCTGTGCAAACGTTTATTTGGTTCGGCGTGTCCTGAGGTTCCTGATCAGCTCGAGGATGGGTAGGTATTACACCATGTATGCATTCACCTTTTATATCAATTGTCCCATATAAATATAAAATACATTTCTAGAAATAAGTCTGATCTGCAGTGGTGGTTTGTTTTATATTTGAGCACTATACTCCACCACCTCTCTCTGTAAACTCTATTTACTGAACTGTTAGACTCCATGAAATATCAAAATGGTTGCCAAAAAAAAAAATCTTTTATTTAAATGTTCGTTATAACGTTAGCTGTTGCAGACACTAGCACTAAAAATGTTTTTAAACATTTTACAAATTAAAGAGACTAAGTACCATAATGACTCTTTTGTTTAATGAATAGGTTTTGGTGCACAGAGTATGTCTCTTCACATAAAATACTGAAGATGCTCTGTCATTTTCCTACGCTTAACACAGGGTTGAGCTTACGGCAAGTTCCACTAGTTTTGTCAAGCTCCGTATTCCCGTAATGCTCAGCTGATTGTCATGTCTGTCGCTGTATTCTCTGAACGTTGCGCAAGCTCCTCTTCCTTCCTGCTGCTCAACATGCACCGACATTACACAGACGAGGACAGTTTGTCGCTGCCATTACAAGTAATGCTAAACACAATGGCTGGACGCTAAAGATATTTTTTATTTATTGGTGGGGGACATTAAAATAAAACACAAAAACAGGTCTATCCATGATAGCCCCACCAACAAAGCAGTTTTGTCTCATTGCTCAATTCTCTGCCATTTAGAAGTATAATTAATTTGTTTTTGCAGCCCTTGCTAATGTTATACTTAATATATTGCACAGTGTGTTTAATGTAGAAGCTTGCAACTCCTGCTCTGTCTATAGCCTGCAGGAGCCTCCCGTTCAATTAACAGAGAAGGAGATAATATCTAAAGTAAACACAATGTGCTCTAATATCTGATTGAAAAACATAATTTGTTCATGTTGGCTGTGTGAGTCAGACAAAACTGTGGGTTTATGCTGCAGGAGCAGGTAAAATAAATTTGAGGATAATATTTGCCTTCTCTCTTAAAATTAAAATAAATGTTCAGTGCCTGGTGGACATTAAAATGTGCATGTTCGAGTCCAGTGCCCAATACTGAATGTATTGATGAATCCATCGCTGATACAATAAATATTATGACACACAAGGCTTAATATTTGCAGAATCTACATTCTGAATCGATTTTATATGAGCTGCTTAGTTTCCTATGTTTCAGGATAATTGGCAAGCCTGACAGACAAGTTTTTGGCAATGGGATGCATCTGTGTGTACATGTATATCTCATTGCTCCTATTATATTGCAAATTACTTTCTTATGTTTTGATGTGAAAAGGTGAATGGATAGAGGAATTGTACCAATCCATATTATACACCCACATACATAGTTTACACATTGTCACTCAGTGATATAGACACTAATGAATTTTAATCTTGGGCTGTGCATCTACGGAAATACACATGTACAGTTTTAACCTAACAGAGCAGAACTGTTTCGTAACTAACAAAGGCTAAACGGCACAACAAGTTCATGCTACCATGAATCACACAAAGGTTCCTTATTACTGGCATCATTTAGAGATTGTCATGCTCTGTAGGCTGGTAAATATTGGAATCGTTAAGAGAAATGTTTATGAAATCCTCACATTGACTGTGTTAGAATATCATTGGAAAATGCAACACAATCTGAAGTCAAAATAAGGACTTTTTCTTATGGACAAAGCTAATGCTGGCAAATGTTGATAAATATCAGAATATCCGCCTCAAGTTTTTTGTCAATTCCTAGCAGCCGTCAGTTGTCATAGCTATAAGAACAGGATTTTTTTGGTGGTAGTTATATTTAGAATCAGAGTGTCGCTAAATATTTTCCATAGAACACTGTGTTGTACTCTTGCACATTGAACAGTGACTTTAGTGCCAGACATTTAGTGAAGACAAACCCTGGAATAAAGCTTCAGGTCCATATATCTCCACCTTGCTGCCCCACACAAAGTAGTCATGTCCTCTTTAGCTGCTGCAATGTGCAGTATGTTACTTTAAAATACTTTAACTTAAAGTTGGACTGAAGTTAGCAATTGTGGTGTGTCCCTCCCTCCCCCCCTTCATTAAATGTGCAAACGGGCTTCCAATACAAGCTCAAAGTGCCCATCAATTCTCTGCACGTGGCCCATGACCACAGGTGCAGTGAATCAGGATAAGCAGATGCCTGAAGTGCATGCATCACCCCAGTAAATCCTTCAGTTAATGGTGATGGTGAGAATGGAACTGTCACTTTCAGGTAAGTAACGGTTCCTCTTTAATTTTATGGTGTGTAATTTAAGAACAGCCAGCTTTATATGTTGTCATTTATCTTGCATAATACAGATAAAACCATAAAAAATAGACATTCTCTGTGAATTTATTTCATTGTCGTGTTAATCGGTTTGGAGGTAATTCTAGATTAAATAACCATTTTACTGCTATAGAAAAAACACAAAGAGAATTTGTCTACCTATTTTCTTTCTCTTTCAAGATTCAACCTACTTGTCTCAAAAAGGGGGAAATTGATTGCCATTTAATGCAATGGAGGTGACAGTTTCATTTCACAAATGCTGTGATCTGTATAATTTTGCATTCTATCCCCTCTCAACCCACCGCAAGCATAAGCAATTTTCTCTTCAACTAGAAGTGACAGTTCTCTCATCCCTTATCATAGTAACATAGTAACATAATAGTTCCTCCAGGCTAGCGACATTGAAGTCTTTGCTTATCTAAACCTTGATGCAACCAGCTCTGTGTGGCTCTGAAAAATGTTAAAAAATGTTATACTGCGTATTGCAGCTATTTGCAGCACTGTTGCTCATGGTGACATGAAGCATAATGTGTTGTCTACATTATCAAAGCTACTGTAAGAGCCAGGGATCAGTCAATCTGCCCTGTGTAGTGGGAATTGTAGTCTCGACACTAAGAAAGGCTTATCGTCTGGCAACAATTAAAATATAGTATCTGGTTTGTTTCACTGTTTATTGCACAACCGGCATAGCTTAATGCATTTTACGTCATAATATTTACAAGATGCATAAAAATCTTTTTGAATTGGGTAATATTGATATTAAATTGATAAGTCATATTAGCCCATTGAAATGGTTGCATACACAATGTTTTTTTTATGCCTACAGACATGTGATTGTACAAACATACTATACCGTAATTATGTTCGGAGATTACTGGTTGAGCACAGTGAATCTTCACTCATTCTGTACTAGACTTGTATACAAAATCTTTCCTCCCATAATTGAAAGCTAATCTCTAATCTGAAAGCACAAAACACATCTGATGGAACCCAGTACAACCCACTCACACACTCTGCAGGGACTTTTTGATGGGTGATGGAAACCTTTTTGAACGTCTTGGGGGGGGGGGCGGGGAAATGGGTTACTGTTAACTTATGATCTTTGAAGAATGACCTTTATAAATTGAAAAGTAATTGTAAATCTGATTTGTAAATATTGATGCTTTCAAGCCATTCTGCAAATCACTGGTCCTGCAAGGGTGTATTGTATTTTGCCAGCATCCCTGTTTGCCTTTGATTCTAGGAGATACTATGACTTGCAATTCTATTGCAATGTTGGATTAAGACATATACTGTGCAGGGGAATTCTAAACTTTTCTTTTTTTTTTTTTTTTTAGGTTTCACCAAATCTAAAGCCATTACAGCAGATATGAATTTAAAACAAGATTATTTGCTGCTTCCTGGGAATCCATTTGGTGAAGAAATAAAATGTCTGTTAACTTTATATTTTCCATGTACAAGTTTCTATCTAGACAAATACATGCCAACCTCAACAGGGCAAACAGGTCAATTTTCAATAGTGCAAACAGAGTTGTAAAAATGTAAAGTTTTTAAAAAAACATATTGAGAAATGATTGTTTTTTTTTTTGTCAATAAAACATATGGCAAACAGATTTCATTCAAACTCTGATTCATATGAAAATGTATATTGTTGTGGGGATTTTTGTTTATTTTATAAATTTTTGCTCAGAAGTTAGTGAGAAACTAAATTGTACGTTGTAAATCAGAACGGCTTCATGTGTCTGGAGTCTTTTATATTTATATACAACTTATATATATATTTTTTTTCTTTATTTAACAGCTGCACTTTTAGTGGGCGTTGCAAAACCTTCCTTTTCTTCCAATTAACCCCTTAAGGACACAACATCTGGAATAAAAATGACGGCATATTCCCATCATGTGTCCTTAAGGGGTTAAATTCGATTTTATAGAGCTAACGGAAGTAGCAAGCATGCTAGGATATAACGCGTCTGCATTTGCCTCCCTTAACTATGTCATGCACTAGTTGGGATATAGTGATGCTGTAGTACAGCTCATTGAGAAGTCTTTGAATGGAAAGCCGTGGTTCAATCGCTGAGGCTTCTCAACGAGGAGAAAGGGGAGGGCATGCAACTGCTGCAGAAGTCATCTTTGCAACTTTTGCAAGCTATCTTTTCAGATATCGTCAAAAAAATACCATGCAACAGTAAATACATAGATGGTAAGTTACTAGTGATTTTTTTTTTTTTTTAATTCTCTTTAGTGAAGTGTTCTGTTAAACAGATCTGTCCTGTTTCAGATCAGAACATTTATGAATCCAGCAGTAAAAGTACCTATTACATGCATAGTGGGGAGATTATCATAGTCTTACTCCTAGCACGGACTCCTCTATTATGATAATGTAAAATGAATTGTAACGATGTCACCAGTAACATCAAGGAGGAATCTGCTTTCATGGATAAAATAATCTAACTTGTTACACAATACTGAGCAATGTGCAGATACCGGATATAGTTACTGTTCTGTCATTTAAACAAACTGGGGGAAAAAAGTGACTTAATCTGGTTGTTGGCACTTTTTAAACTGGTTGATAGAATGTACCCATATCTTTAGATCATAGCCTCACTTCCCCTCCCTCCTTAGATATTTTTTTTTTAAACCCCCAAAAAACACATTACCTTGAAAGGGATAGTGAATCAAATGTGCACATGCAACAATCAGCCCCAGGCAATTGACTGCTTCTCAGTCATTCTCTATGAAAAGCATTTGCAACATATGGTAGCATCATCATAATGGAATGAGGAACAGCCTCTAGTCCAGGGGTCAGCAACCTAAGGCACATGTGCCATGCACGGCACTCGAGGTGCCCTTGTACGGCACTAGGAGTCCCAGTGGGACTTCAGATATCTGCTAGTGCAACCTGACCTGTGATTGCAGATAGTGAGGGACAATCCTCTATCTATACATTGCAGCACTTAGAGGTAGTGATCTCAGATCATTGTCACCAAGCACTTGTGAACGGAAATCTGCTCTGGAGTAGAGTAGCCAACAGCAGTTATCATTGCTACTCCATAGCAGCTCCTACCTTGAACTGTACCTGGTCAGCCCAGTCCCCAATGGACCACAGGGAAGTAGTTACTGTTCACATAAGGACATGACCAACAGACAATTTCCCTGGATATTCAATTTTAAAAAGATCCTGATATGGGATAATATAAGTGGGTGTGTATCTGACCACGGGTGGGTGTATAACAGTAGGTTATTAAAAGTACATATGTAGCTCTCACCAAACTTAATCCTAAGAAAAAGTATGATCTCCACCAAAGAGGACATTATTTGTGCAAAATGTAGTATTGGAGCACAGCACGTTCACCAGGAGTCAGCTGTAGGCTCTGTAATATGTATGTGTGTGTGTGTGTGTGTGTGTCTCTATGTATATATATGTGTATATATGTGTGTGTATATATATATATATGTGTATATATATGTATGATAGGTTGTGCGTTATATTGATAGCTCTCCCAAAATGTACTCGTTTTTTAAAATGTAGAGTGACCCGTTGTACTGCTACTTGAATGATAATTAACTGGTGAACTGGGTTTAAGATACAGACATTTAGTTATTCTCTATTTGACTTTACACTAATTCATTATTACAATGAAGCTTTTTCAGCAATAGATCATTTAGCTGATCTTTGTTCCATAATCTATCTTGTTCTATCACCAAGTGTGTGACTCTGTCCCAAAATGTTCAACCTGCTCTTGGCTGTGCTGTCTAATTCCACCATCATTCACTTTCACCGCTCTGAATTTATGTTGCAGACTTTTTGTTCCTGGCTAGATTGTTTCCAAAGGATAAAAAAGAACGGAAACAAGGAAATCAGCATTTATCATTCTTTATGAGAAAAATAACAAATATTATTTTGAGGCATTAAATGTCTGCAAGGAATTAAGCTTAACACAGACAATTTATACCCTCCAGGTTTTTGTTTTTCACTGATCACAATGCAGATTTTCATCAGCGTAAAGAGACAAGGCAATTTTTTTTTTCTTACCCACATTTTTAATATGATTTTATGTTTTAATGCATTAAAAAATATATATACATTGAAGGGGGAAAAAAAAAAACAACAATCTTTGAGTTAATCCCCTTATTTGCAGTTAATTGGAGGCCGGAGATAGCTGGAATGGTCCAAATGGGCCTTGAATTAAAGTGGTACTGTCACCGTCTGGGGAGTTTGCACATTTCATCACTAGGGGTTCAGTTTCTGGAATGGCAGGTAAAAGTTAGATTTACTTGACTGAACCTGTCCCTTACGGGTGCTGCCATCTTCCTCTGGACGGTTCTCTTCAGCCGTTTCGACATGCATGCGTGGGACTGCGGCATTGAGGTCTATAGGGGATTCCGTGCAGCCTTCACTGATGATGGTTATGTGAATTGACATTTCTGGACACTTCCGTTCAGTGTCTAGAAATGTTAGTCTATACTTTGTCTCAGTATCTCCTGACTGGGTTGGAATTTCAGTGAATTCCCGTGAAATTTCATACTTTATGATAGGGGTGACAGTGTTACTTTAATTTTACTACTTAAATGTACCCACCATACCAAAATACTCATGCTCTTGTAATTTATAGCCTTTGGATTTTATTAATAGTTTACATGTGGGGACATAGTTTAATCCACAGTGGTAACATTAGCGAATGAACAAATTAAGGGCTCTGACGCTTTTATTGCTGTAAAAAATAGCTCTTTAATATTTGTATATCCTTTACATCACTGCGACTGACATTATGGTGAATTTCTAATAAACTAAAAAAAACATATTTTGTGGAGATCACATTACTCTGGAGTTCTGTGATACTCCTTTACTCAATCGTTTACTTTTAGATTGCTTTGGAGCTTTGTGATAATCATGCACATCACATGTCGAGAATTTTATCGTTGTGACACACGATGAGCCTTATTGTCGAGGAGCTCTGTAATCTAATCATACTCGCTGTACATTATTATCTATGTGGTTTGTTCTCAAACCAGTCCTCATGGCACACCAAGAATCCAAGATTTATGTAGTTCCCTTTTTTTTTTTTTTTTTTTATTCCAGTGGAGATGCTGACAAAACTTGGACTGTTGGTGGGTTGTGAAGACTGGTTTGGGAACCACTGATCTAGATTAATCAGGCAAGTTGACATTTCAAGTCAGTTGTGTTTATAGTTTGATCTTGAATTTGAAGTTCGCTTTATATTCCAAACAATCTGCAAAGATCCTCTGTGGGTTTTATTATTTGGAAGCCCTGCAATACAGTGTGACGAACTGAACCTAGTCACTGGTTGTTGGAGGAGCCTGCTGGCCAGCCTCTTACCCTGTGACTATGACCCCTGCAATAGACCTGGCTAAAATACTTTAAAGGGCTTTGTTCATGTGAAGTATGTACTTTTGTACTCCAGACAGAGACCGACCGTTAGCAATAATTCTCTGGAACTGTTTTCGGCATGGGACCATGTGCACGGTCATTTAAAAATAAGACTTTCAGTCAATTCTTGAACTGATCTGGGCGATTTTTGGAAATATTGTTCACCCAGATCAGGGCTATCAGGGGATGTAACATTTATGGGCTTTTATATTTATTTTGCGGTACTTTTGGGGTGTTTTAAAAAAGTGTTTTTTCTGTGCTTGGAGATAATTGGATTAGAATTAGTACAGTTACTGATTCAATTATCTCCCAGGCAGAGGGGAGGGATTGCGTGCTGTGTCGTGCCTTGTAACCTTTTTGTTATTGGTCTGTGAAGTTGCAAGTCAGTCCCCCCACATGGTCCCTGTGGGCGTACCCCTTGCATGGGGATTGTCATATAAGGCCAAGTGTGGTTCCCATTAAAGAGAGATTTGTTTACCCCTTCATGGAGTCTTGGCTCATGTTTGGGGGATTGGAGAACTACACTCACTCTGGGAATTGCTAGAATCACTATAAGAGCTGTTCCTGCTATGCTCTCTGGACTAGGAGGGGTTCACCCACTGGAAGCTGGATCCGGGCCTTGGGTCCAGGGTGGGTGGAGGACGGCGAGACCCCAACCAAGCTGTGGCAATTTGTGGGGTCTGCGGTGCTGATGGTGGATGTGGAGTGCTTGGAGTCCCCTCTGAGCACTAGGAGCAGCGATTTGACAGAGCTCCCCAGTTGGGGCCCCAGGCGGTCCATCACATACAGTAAAAAAAAAAAAAACACATCCTGATCACCTGGTCATAAAACTGGATGTCGAGCAATATTAAAAGTTTCTTTACCACTACACACCACAGTACTGGTTATGATGCAAGGTGTATCCTGACTCAGTTCCCAGTTATTTACATGATTTGCCCCCTTACTTAAGTCCCATGTGCACTGCGATACTCTCTAGTGGCCGGATGACACATATCAACTTCTGCAGAGACACAAAAGCCATGACCATCACCTGTCATTGGATTGGGAGCATCAGTTTACTGATCATAGCCAATGGCTGATATTCCGTGCAAGAAAGGTTGCTTGGAATTGACATTAGCCAGCCAGGAACTCTAGTTCTGAATGACGCTGCCAGAGTTGAAATTAAACCCCCAGAAGCAGAGGGGTTAAACTTAATGTGCAGTGTTTCAACATCACAAAAGGTTCATGGTTCCTAGAGTTACTACATTGCATATTGCTTCATGCAGTGTTCTGTGTTCAGCATGGATAATCCCTTTCTTAACTCTCAATTCTCCAGTAGTAGTTTTATAGTAAACAATTACAGAGAGAAAAATATCATTAAGTTTAATATTTATAATACATGTTTTGGAGGTTAATTAGTGTGAGTTGCTTTTAAACTGTTGTTTCTGATTTGAATAAAACATATGAATATTTATTAATTTTTTTCATAAAAAAAGTTTTTCACTGCTTTTTAAGTTCCAATCTAGAACTTTGCTCAGATATAATATACATTTAAAAAAAATCTGAAAAAGGAAGCGCCAAATAAAATCAATGCCCCAGGAGCTACTTAAACAGTTGTGAAAGCTGATAGTATAGTGTTATGAATTTGAACCCTCTGAAATGATCAGCATTTCTACACAAAGAAGGGATTTGAACCTTATCCAAAAAGCAGGTGCATTCATTTTAGAATTATGTTGAATATAATTTGTGTACGATTTCTTAGATGTGCGAAATGCTAATGCAATGTACAGTAAATCTTTTAATTACTAGCCGAAATTGCGCGAGAGCATCAAACAGACAGAAGCATTTTATCTTTGCTAAACTTGCATAGAACATTATCATTTCAGAGATTATGTGAGAGTATCCTATTTTAGAGAAGAGCCTGTGTACTGGAGATAATTTGTCTTCTAGCTTGCATTTTAGAACATGTTTCTTAACATAGACAATGTCATTCAAGGTCACCTTTCTTCCCAAATGTTTCCTCATTTCATTTCTGAATGAGGTCATGTGGAAATCTAAATGAGCAGCTCGTGGAGTTAATCTTTAAATATTGTCCTTTTTTTTTTTAATCTTAGAAATACATATATTTATGCAATCCAAGAGAAAGCACACTCACATGATTTGAAACACGCTTCACTGCTTTATTTTGTAAATATATAATTCTCATGTGTATATTAATTTATATAACATTTAAAAATATCTAATCTCTACTGTTTCCTATGGTCTGTCTTAATGTAGTGGTGTAAAAACATAAAAACTACAGTTCAGTGTAGTACTTATGATGGAAAGAATCTGCACCTGCTTACAGGGTTTTTTTTTGGTCAAACTGTTTTGGATTGATTTGTCAAAATGTGGCTCTTCCTAGTGCCCAAAGACAACCCCTCCTGGCAGTATTAGACAACTTAGTTTGTTTTGTCTAGAATGTAGTGATAGGTTGATGCAAGGGGTGAGTTAGCCAATTATTGCCACTCTGATAAGATGGAATTGGCTAAGATAATGCAGAAGTGAAAGTGTCTGTTACTAGTCCCTTCATATGTGCAACAAATTGAATGACAATTTTTGATGCGTTATCTCCATAATGCGTAACAAAAAATATGCAGCTCAAGTCCTCCCCTTGAATATATTTTGAATTCTGTTGTTTTTCAGTTTTCATGTCCCTAAGCCACTGATGCAAGTGAAATGCTAGTCAACACCCATTTCCCAATCTTAAGGGGACACTATAGGCACCAACACAACTTCTACTCATTGGCTGTGACCTCATAGTTATGTTGTGTCTTTGTCATTGATCACTTCTTTTTATCTGCAACATAAGCCTAACTTTTTCCATCACAGTTCTCCTGGATCAGCATTTGCCTCACAATACATACTGAATTGCTGGAAGGCAAAGATTGCAGATTATAGAAGATGGATCTACTTTAGATCAGATTCAGAAAGTAAACACAGTGATTGTAGTATGATCGTAATGTAGTTTGTTTTCTCCCCCTATCTGGAAATGCATGTTCTTAGAGGGAAACTTTATACCAGTAAATCCTTTCAGGCTCTGTGTGTTAATCTTGATTGTTTTTCTACCCTGACACAACTATTGTGCATTAACCCTTTGCAACATGGTCATTTGGAAAAATTTGGCAACTATATTATGACAATCATTGAAGATATCACTAGCAAGACAATTAAAAACGTGGCATTAATTTAAAGGTTGTTGTTATGAAGAAACTGTGGCTATTAACCTTTGACAGGAATTCCGTTTGCAGAAGGTATGTGTGTTCAGGGCAACATGGTTTTCATGACTCCAAATATAATATACTCATTCTGAAAGCACTGAAGTGATGGCTCGCAAATAAAATTTAGCTTCACTTTGGTTGGATACAAAACGGAAACTGTTGAAGACGATATGACAGATTAAGACATTCTAGTCTGCAGAAGCAGGTAAAAAGAAAAGTTATTAACGGGACACTATAGTCACACAGACCACTTCAGCTCAATGAAGTGGTCTGGGTGCCAGGTCCCCAAGGTTTTAACCCTTCAGATGTAAACATAGCAGTTTCAGATAACTGCTATGTTTACATTGCAGGGTTAATCAAGCCTCTAGTAGCTGTCTTTCTGACAGCCACTAGAGTCGCTTCTGTAACGCTGGATGCGAAAACGTCCATAGGACCTATGGACTGTTTGAATGCGCGCGGGTGAGGAGAGGTCACCTGTGCCGAGGGAGCCCGCCACTAGATAAAGGGGTTTTAACCCCTTCACTGCCGCGGGTGGGGGGGACCTAAGGGTTATATAGTGCAGGAAAACGAGTTTGTTTTCCTGACACTATAGTGATCCTTCAACGAATTTCCATACAAGTGCAAAACAGTAAACTTGTGTATACTTTTTCAAGTAAATGAGAATCCATCCAAATTTTCAATGCTTAGGTAATTAATTTAAAAAAATGAATAAACTAATCACTTAAATAACAAAAGAAAGAAAACTATTTAATACATGTAATGTTTTATTAAAATCTCCTGTGCAGCCTACAGCCTAGATAGAGAGTATAGCCTGGGGGAGGTGGTCAACTATACTCCTTCAGCAATAGGCGCAATAGGACAGCATGGCCATCTAGCTCCTGCTCCATCCGTAGTATGATGGGTTTGGGTATTTAATTACTAAATCCAACCCTGTGTTGTGGGATATGGTGTGATCACTTGTAATGAGGGTGACCTGATGCAAGGCCCGCCAATGCCCTTCACCAGCAAGTGAGAGGTTAATAAGAGACTTGACTGGGAGTACTGCTTCCTGCTGCTTCCACGTAACTACTCCCATACCTTAAAAATTGAAAATCCAGTGCACTCCCTTATCTACTAAACAGCAACTTTGGTGCTGACAGATTTTTTTCGTTGTTTAAAAATACCTAATCTAGGCAAAAAATAATGGGGGTTTAGTTACATTATATGATCATACATTGCATAAGCCTGCCACAACGTTAATGTACCCTATCTTTGGCAGGTCCTACTCTACTCCCATACCTTGGGATGGGAGTAGGAATGATGCTATGGTCACAGACACGTGGGTGCATAAATTTGTTTTGGGTACCCCCGAGTGGGTGTGGTCATCTCCCTTTAGAAATGTCCTTTTGAGACATGCTTGTTTCTATGGCAACAACTCCACCTCTCCATCTATAACCAGGAAAGTTTTACATAGAGATAACAGTGAGGCCACCAAGACACTAGGCCATGTCTTGGTACTGGTACTTGTCACATACACATTTACACACAGAGAACATACTCACTGACAACCACCCAGGATCAGCCCTGGATGGGAGTATAAATAGGGTGACCTTTAAAGGCACCATGCCAACATAGCAGGCAAGCTGTGCTCCCTGTCTCTTCTCTTATAAACCCTATACTAAGTACCCCCCTTTGCAATACCCACCCTCAATCTCTCAACACCAGGATTGTGATGGAGGCAGGGCCGGATTAACATAGGGGCTGATGGAGCTGCAGCTCCAGGCCTAGGCCCATGGAATAGGCCCATTTAAAAAAAAAAGAAAAAAATTTACATTTTTACTTTTTTATTTTATTTTTTTACACACTTCTTTTGGGTTTGCCACGTGACTGTTATTTTACCAGCACAGCCTGTATTTGAGACTGCCTGGCTGTGCCAGTATTGCAGTAATACCCGCAATACAAATGCAGAATTTTTTCTCAGTATAAACGTAGATTACTATGCAATACTAGCACCAGCCAATAGGGGTCACTGTGTGTGGAGAGAGGCAGAAATAGGAAGTTGCTCCCTGCCTCTCTCTACTCACTGATCCGCGGAGGCGCAGCTAAACAGCACAGAGAGTTCAGACCGCAGCTTCCAGCCTGCAGACACAAACTACAGTTCAGGAAAGTGAGGAATGGGATAAAGGCTGAAAGATGGGGGGCAAAAGGCAGCAGGGAAACATGGGGACACTGAGACACTAGGGGACACTGTGAGACATGGGGATGCTGAGACACATGGGGACGCTGTGAGACATAGGGACAATGGGAGACACATTGGGACATGGAGACACTAGGGACACAGTGTCTCCATGTCTCCCAGTGTCCCCATGTCTCCCAGCCAGTGTCCCTAGTGTCTCAGTGTCCCCATGGCTACCAGTGTCCCCTAGTCTCCCAGTGTCTGTGTCCACATGTCTCCCAGCCAGTGTCTCCATGTCTCCTGGTGTCCCTATGTCTCCCAACCAGTGTCCCTAGTGTCTCAGTATCCACATGTGTCTCAGTGTCCCTAGTGTCCCCATGTCTATGTCCACAAGTGCCCCCATGTCTCCCAGTGTCCCCAAGTGTCTGTGTCCCCATGCCTCCCAGCCAGTGTCCCTAGTGTCTGTGTCCCCATGTCTCCCAGTGTCCCCTAGTCTCCCAGTGTCTGTGTTCCCATGTCTCTGTTCCTAGTGTCTTAATGTCCCCAAATGTCTGTGTCCCCATGTCTGTATCCCCTAGTGTCTGTGTCCCCATTTCTCCCAGTGTCCCCAAATGTCTGTGTCCCCATGTCTCCACATGTCTGTATCCACAAGTGTCCCCATGTCTCCCAGTGTCCCCAAGTGTCTCAGTGCCCCCATGTCTCCCAATGTCCCCAAGTCTGTGTCCCCATGTCTTTGTGTCCCTTGGTATCCTAGTGACATGGGAAACACTGAGACATGGGGACACTGGGAGAAAGGAGGACACTAAGACACTGGGAGACTAGGGGACTGGGCGACATGGAGACACTGACACTGTGATACATAGGGACACTGATGCCAGGATGGCCTTCCAATTCTTTGGACAGACATTTCCCCTTTTTTGGCATGTTCGCCCCTTTTGGCAGTTCTGGTCACGTGAGTCGCGTCAGTGGCCCACCCTTTTACCCCACCCATTGACTTCTTATACTGCTTTTAGGAGGTATGGATTTACTTGAAATATGAAAGCATGAATTAGAGCGAGATTAGCATAGAGTATGTGTTTTCTTATAGCTACATCCTTGGAGTATTCCTCCAACACCACCTCCACCAGATACATGATGCTTGGGTGGTATGGTTGTTTTAGTGTTTTTAGTCAATAAGATTCTGTAATTAGGCCCCATCATAATTGTCAGCCCACTGGGCTCTTAATCTGGCCCTGGATGGAGGCAAAGAGCAGTGGCCGGCTCATCTGAATTTTATTTATGAACAAAAATATTTAACTATATTACTTTCAGACAAACTGGATTTCTTCATCTGTGCTTGTGCGCAAGTCTACAAAAACGGTGATGATCAAGTAACTGATATAAAAAATATAAGAGGGGGGCTGCCAGTTTCAGCACATAGGGTCATAAGGCATTAGGGGTGAGTTTTGAGAGTTATTGCATTGTCCTAAATGAAGATTAGGAAACCTTTGACACTTCAGATATTTAGGAAATCCTCTCCCTTAATGCTCTTACAGTGAAAATGCTGGCAATGCATCAGGGGATATGTTGTGAATTACATGTGAATTTACAAAGCTTGCCTAATCCTGCCCTAAGTTAAGAGCAATACTACTGGATACTAGTAGTGTTTTTCTGTATTTTTCCCTATTATAGAGGGGAAGGTAGTTAGCTGAGTTCAACTCTAAGAACCCATACAGACTCATAGAAGGTTTATTAGGCAGAGATGGATTACCCATGAGATGGCATATTTGGTTGGCTAAGGCCTGCCCAGTGGCACCTTGTGTGAGCCTGGAGCTCTGTTCTAAGGGAGCCCTCCTTGGGCTGACAAGGACATAAACAAATCGACCCTGCCCGACCCTCTGCAGTCATGGACTGAGCACTTGGGCAATCGATCATTGACTGAGGTCTGATGTTTTTGGGGGCCTGCCCATTATTTAGCTGTCAAAAATCAATGGAGGATTGCCATAGAGAACACAATGGAAGGAAATCGCTCGGCTAAGTCTACAGTCTCAGGTTAGCCACACTACACAGGACTGATTTAAATCATCATCCAAGTGCTTTGTTCAAACAGACTCACACCATTCCTTTGCAAGTTGGGTACAGTGATATATGTTACCATGATTAGGAATTATTTTCAATGTAACTCCAATGCAATGTTCACAAATAAATTGTTAACATTAACACATGTCTGTGCCGTTTATTTGTCACAACCATTAAATTAAAGGTGATAACTTCCCACAGGGATGGGCAGTCACTTTTAAATCTGCCATCGTAGTCTTTTTTTTTTTGTTTTGTTTTTTTAACGTTTGTGTAGGTAAAATTACCAGAAATACAAATGCATGATATCTTAACTTGAAAAG